GTACCGAGTCAAGGCAATCAGTTCAGCCGGACGTGCCCTCAACTTCCTTCTCTCGACCCCGGCACCGCAAACCGGCTTTTCTCCTTCAGGTCTTAATCACCGGGAGATGTTTGTTTTATTTTTGGTTTGCGGAGAAATCGCAATACCGTTACGGCTTGATCGTACCTCTTCGAGGAATTGAATTGTGGCTAGAATCACTCAAGGTCACGATTTTTTCTGGCGAGCGTGTGAACGAACTTGGCACTTCCTGCAAGAGATGGGGCTAAAGGGGTCGCCGGTGTTGCGAAAACCGTCAGCAGAATGTACAGGACGTGTCAACGTTTTAGTGACATAATCGTCTGATATTTCCAGAGCGCGTAATGCAGGGACAATGCAAAAAATGCTGCGTAAGGAAGACTTTCTATTCTGGTCGTAATTTAAATGAAAGTTTGGAGGTTCGGGGCAGGTGAATTACGGATTGAGTGATGCTGGATGGAACGTAATTTGATGAAACGAAAGTGTTTTTTTTGTGGCGGGAATTTTATGAAATTTAATGGGTTGACCAGGGGCTACAAAGGAAAAATTGGTCGGAAGTTATCTGTAATTTCGCGAGTTTTCTATCTTCCAACTTTTGAATTTTTCAGTTTTTGATTCCTTGAATCTTCCTAGAGCGAGTCTAAGTTCGTTTTTTGTGTGTTAGTAATATTTCTTATCTTCTGTTCCAGGCATTTCTACGATACAGATCCTAAGTAATTTAAATTAAAAAGATTCAACAAAAGATATTCATTTTTGTTAACCTTAACTTAACTCAAGAAAGAATAGTGAACATGTTGCATATTTTTTATTTTAATGTCCGGACCAACGTCCTCGAAATGTTGAAAACCTACAAAAAAATATTCATTCATTCCAAGATCAAACTGTAGTTTTTTCATTATGCGTAAAACCGGTATAAATTCATCTTAAGTGTTTTTTTTTTTTTTTTACTTTTTGATTGATCAGCTTTGTTTAATGGCATTCTAAGACAACGCCACTAATTTTTAAACGGGATGAGATAAATAAATTATACTTAATTCTATATAATTAATTAATTATACATGAAGTGGTTGAAAGTAATTACCTTACAGTTATGATTTATACAAGTAGTTTTTTTATTGTGGCTAATGCTTTTGAGTGATCGTAGTTTAAATATCTGTTCTTCACACTTTTACTTCCTGAGTAAATTAAGGAAGTATAGTAATCGAGTCCACCGGACGAATGGCCACTTTTATATTTTCTCGACGTTTCATGACCCCTAGAGTCAAAGAGTGCTATGTTTATTTGATTTAACTGTTATACAATGTAGTCCTATAATAACAGTTTACCATTGGTGTAAGGCATTCCGGTGGTGGTTTAGTGGATACGAGTCATGAATGCGGACCGGACGTCGCGCGTTCGATTTCCAACTTGGCCTTTCGTTTTTTTGTTTTTTTTTTTTCTTTTTGTCTCGCATTGTGTATTATCTATGTTTATGACGTCATGACGAATTTTTTATTGATGAAATTACCCCACTTTCTCGCTCCTCTTTATTTAAAAATGTAAAATTGTAAATTTTCTCTTTTCGTTTTCTTTTAACAATGTGAAACCTTCTCGGGGGTCCTAACTGTCTTTTTTTAAGAATGTTATACTTCACAGAGGTTCCAACTGCTTTTTTTTATTGTAAAACCTTGTCGGGGGCCCCAGCTGTATTTTTTTAAGAATGTGAAACCTTCTCGCGTGGCCCAAATGTCTTTTTTTAATGCGAAACTTTCTCGGGGGTCCCAAGTGTTTTTTTATCTTTTCAAAAATGTAAAATTTCCTCGGGGGCCCCAAATGTCTTTATTTTTTTAATATGAAACTTTCTCGGGGATCCCAATTGTCTTTTTTAAAAATGTAAAACTTTCTCGGAGGCCCCAAATGTCTTTTTTATACTGAACTTTCTCGGGGGTCCCAACTGTTTCTTTTAATGTAAAACCTCGTTAGCCCCAAATGTACTCTTTTAAGAATGTGAAATCTTCTCGGAGGCCCCAAGTGTCTTTTTAAAAATGTAAAATCTTCTCTGGGGCCCCAAATCTTTTTGTGTTTTTTAAAGTGAAGCTTCTGTGTTTTTTTGTAAAACCTCCTCGGGGGCCCTAAATGTACTCTTCTAAGAATGTGAAATCTTCTTGGAGGCCCCAAATGAACTCTTTTAAGAATGTGAAATCTTCTCGGGGCCCCCAAATGTTTTTTTTTATGTGAAACCTTCTGGGGGGTCCCAACTGTATTTTTAAAAATGTAATAACTTTTCGAGGGCCCCAAACGTCTTTTTTTACAACGTGAAATCTTGGGGGCACCAAATCTTTTTGTGTTTTTTAAAATGAAACTTCTAACTGTGTTTTTTTGTAAAACCTTCTCGGGGGCCCTAAATGTACTCTTCTAAGAATGTGAAATCTTCTCGGAGGCCCCAAGTGTCTTTTTAGAAATTTAAAATCTTCTCGGGGGCGCCAAATCTTTTTGTTTATTTTAAAGTGAATCTTCTTTAGAGTCTCAACTGTTTTCTTAAATGTAAAACCTTCTCGGAGGCCCCAAATGAACTCTTTTAAGAATGTGAAATCTTCTCGGGGACCCCAAGCGTCTTTTTTAAAAATGTAAAACCTTCTCAGAGGTCCCAAATGTCTTTTTTAAACTGAAATTTCTCGGGGGTCCCAACTGTTTTTTTTTTAATGTAAAACCTCGGGGGCCCCAAATGTACTCTTTTAAGAATGTGAAATCTTCTCAGAGGCCCCAAGTGTCTTTTTAAAAATGTAAAATCTTCTTCGGGGCGCCAAATCTTTTTGTCTTTTTTAAAGTCGACCTTCTCTGGGGTTCAACTGTTTTTTTTTAATGTAAAACCTACCCAGAGGCTCCAAATGAACTCTTTTAAGAATGTGAAATCTTCTCGAAGGCCCCAAGTGTCTTTTTTAAAAATGTGAAACCTTATCGGGAGTCCCAACTGTCTTTTTAAAAATGTAAAACCTTCTCGAGGCCCCCAAATGTCTTTTTTTAATGTGAAACCTTTTCGGGGATCCCAATTGTCTTTTTAGAAATATAAAATCTTCTCGGGGTCCCAAAATCTTTTTGTCTTTTTTAAAGTCGACCTTTTCTGGGGTCCCAAATGTCTTTTTAAAAATGTAAAACCTCGGGGCCGCCAAAAGTCTTTTTTTTGATGTGAAACCTTCTCGGAGGTCCCAACTGTCTTTTTTAAAATGTAAAACCTTCTCGGGGGGCCCAAATGTCTTTTTTTGAATGTGAAATCTTCTCGGGGGGTCCCAACTGGTTTTTTTTTTTTAATCTAAAACCTTCTCAGACGCCCCAAATGAACTCTTTTAAGAATGTGAAATCTTCTCGGAGGCCCCAAGTGTCTTTTTTAAAAATGTAAAACCTTCTCGGGGCCTCCAAATGTCTTTTTTTTTATATGAAACCTTCTCGGAGGTCCCAACAGTCTTTTTAAAAATGTAAAACCTTCCCGGGGCCGCCAGAAGCCTTTTTTTTATGTGAAACCTTCTCGGAAGTCCCAACTGTCTTTTAAAAATGTAAAACCTTCTCGGGGGCCCCAAATGTCTTTTTTTATGTAAAACCTTTTCGGGGTCGCCAAATGTGTTTGTTTTAGAATATGAAACCTTCTCGGGGATTCCAAGCGTCTTTTTTTAAAAGTAAAATTTTCTCAGGGTTCCCAACTCTTTTTTAAGAATGTAAAACCTTCTCGGGGGCCCCATATGTCTTTTTTTAAAATGTAAAACCTTCTCCGGGGCCCCAAATTTAATGTCTTTTTAATGTGAAACCTTCTCAAAGGTCCCAACGGTCTTTTTTAAAAATGTAAAACCTTCCGGGGCACCAAATGTATTCTTTTAAGAATGTGAAACCTTCTCGGGGATCCCAATTGTCTTTTTTAAAGAGGGTTAAACCTTCTTTTTTTCTATTACACTGTGACTTATACGTTCTATATAGAGGTTATTACTAAAAAGTAAAATTCCGCTAAATCAAATTTTATAATTTTTCAGAGCAGTATTTGTTGTTGACCAAGTTTTTTTTTATTAGATCTTCACCTAGAAATTGCAACATGCAGATAATTGATATAGGATATAATTTGTGGCTGCGGCTCCGTACTTCTTTTAAAAACAATATCATTTGGAGTAACCTTGAAGAAGGGAAAATGAAACGTGACAATTTGGAAAAATCCTTCGTCTGGTTGTGGAAAACTGAATCTAATTCAATGCAGTAGTCATTTTCTTCGCATTAAGTAGTTGTATGATCTCCTTACGCCGTCATGCGTTTCTTTCCGTCTCATTTGACACCGATTTGTCCTTGTAGCTTTCTTCTTATTCTTTAAATTATTTTATAAATATGCGTGCTGTCATTATACTCAACTTTATACTTTCTTCGATTACTCAAGCGTGTCACGGTAGGTACACGCAAAAATAGATTTTTGACAACAGGAGAAGAATACAAAACGAAAATAACAGTCTTCGTAATGTAAAATCCCCAGACGAAGAAAAGACAAGAAACTTGAAGAACTTGTTTTTGTGTAGTTTTATTGTCCCGCTAACTATTGCTCGTCACCTGTTTTTATAGTCTAATCGTTTAAGCAGAACTTAAATGAACTTTTCCGTCCATCATAGGGCACTATATTAAGTCCGCTGCTTTTTCCCCATTACACCAGTGACCTACACATAACCGAATTAACCTCAAAATAAAAATAAAACTAAACCCACACGCGTTTTCGCGTCTGATTGACCTTACAACGTGCATTTTAACGTTTTCCTCCATTAAAACCCATCGCACCGAGGCCTGAACCCAAGGTTCGCCAAAGATGCTACAAATACACGACAATTTACGTCAAAACCTTGGGCTTCCACGCGATTTTTTCTCGGTATTAATCACCCGAGTCTAACACCCAGACGAAAATAATGACGTTTCTAATTTTAATTGTATGTCATTAGTGTCACCGCGCTGCCAACCGCTAATTACTAAAAATTTTTTTTTTCCAGGATGAACTCGCAGCCGCATTTGCCACACATTTCCGAAGACTACATCTACCTGTTTCTGCATGCCGGCTACTACAACGTCGAAAGGACGAAAAGTTACATCGAGAATTATTTTACCATACGGGCCAGCGCGCCGGCCATATTCAGCGACCGAGACCCATACTCGCCCAGGATGCAAGTGATGATCGGTCTTGCGTAAGTGGAAATAACCTTCGGAGATTAGAATTTTGAGAGTTTAATTACGGAGTTGGGTTTCCTTTGTTGCCTAATTTCGAAGATTTTAAAATAGTGACAGTTTTCGCTGTAGAATAGCATTAATCACTGAATTTATTTAGAGAACTAAAATTTTATAACAGACATACAGTGCGCAAAATATTCCAAAAGTCCTCGTTGGAATCAGTGTTTATCTTCATCTTGTTTCTTTTTTTTCTGCAAAAAGCTGTTGTAAATGCGGCAGAGTTCTTTGCCTTTTTCTGTTAATTTATCGGAACACGCGTCTTTCTTCTTTTCGCTTTTTTCTTGTGCTTTGAGTTTCTTTTTTTCCTGCTCTTTCCGGCTGATTTCCTTTGCTTTCTCACAAGGATCTACGGCTACGTTAAACCGTTCGAACTGCTTCTTTTCACATTTTTGTGTTGGTTTAGTCTTACTTCCGTCACGCTTTTTCACGCCTTCGTGAAGATCTAGTTTTATTTGAGGCTTTTTTTCTTCACTTGTGTCTTTCTTCTTTACCAGAAGTTGGTGACAAAGATCTAAGTTCACATTCGGATCCTCATACTTTTTCATTTCTTTGCCTTTTGTTTGTGTTTCTTCACAAGGTTCTTCCTGCTGCTTTTCTTCCTCACAAACATCTTCCTTTTTGACGCAAAGATTTTCCACTGTGAAGCACTTTTCGTGTTTACTCTCTTCAACTTTTTCCTCTTCTTTGCTACACACGTACAGACCTTCTTCTTTCTTCTGTTCCGCTACCTTCTTGACAGGATCTTCTTTCACACCGAACCGTTCAAAATCCATGATTTTTTCGGGTCTACGCTCCGGAAAAGTCGGCATTTTATCTTTACTTTCGTCTTTCGCTACTTCTCTGAGACACTCGTCTTTCTTTTCTGCCACTTTCTTGCAAGGATCTTCCTTCACACTGAACCGTTCGAAGATCGCGATTATTTCAGGTCCACCTGAACATTCGTCTTTTGATGCTTCTTTTAACTCGTCTTTCTTCTTTTCCGCCACTTTCTTGTGAGGATCTTCCTTCACGCCGAACCGTTCGAAGTCGGCGATTTTTTCAGGTCTACGTTCTGGGAAAGTGGGCGTTTTGTCTTTACATTCGTCTTTTGCTGCTTCTTTCAACTTCTTTTCTGTTGTTTTCTTGCAAGGGTCTTCTTTAAGATCAAAGCGCTCTTTTGACTTTCCGTCTTTCTTGGAGTCATTGATTTTTGCAGCTTTCATCCATTTCTCGTCACATGGATTGGGTTTATTTTCTTTTTTGCTAGATTTAGAGGGACACACGAATTTGAATTTGGCGCATTTTTCTTCTGTTTTCTCCGGTTTTGACTGACATTCTTTGGTGTCTTGTTTTTCTTTCTTTTGCTTCGCCTTCTCTTTCTGACAAAGATCTTCTTTTGCGTTTTCTTTCTGACATATTTGGTGACACAAGTTGCTTGCTTGTATGGCTTCTCCTTCGTTTTCTTTTGTCGGTTTTTTAATTTCAGCTTTTAGACACAAACACAGTGCTTGTAAGCAATCGTCGTCTACTTTTTGCAACAGTTTCTTCGCTTTGTCTTCGTTTGCTTTAGTTTCTTTTTTGAGACACAAAGACATTGCTTGTGCACAATCATCGTCTTGTCTTTTTGTTTTGTCGATAGTTGTACAATCTGCTTTAATTTCTTTTTTATCCTCCTTTTTAGAGCAGTCTTTCTTTTCTTTCGCTTTTGCTAACGCTTTCTCACACACTGTTTGCCCATGTTTGGTCTTTTCGTTTTTCTCAGAGCAAGGATCTTTCTTGCCCTTTTCTTCTTTTGCTTGTGTTTTCGCTTTCTCACATGGATTTTCCCGTACCCCAAATCTTTCAAATTTTTCTTTTAGTTCTTTGGTCTTTTCACTTTTCTCAAAGCAAAGATCTTTCTTATCCTTTTCTTTTGGTTGTGTTTTCGCTTTCTCACATGGATTTTCCCGTACCCCAAATCTTTCGAATTTTTCTTTCAGTTCTTTGGTCTTTTCACTTTTCTCAGAGCAATGATCTTTCTGCTCCTTTTCTTTTGGTTGTGTTTTTGCTTTCTCGCATGGATCTTCCTGTACCCCAAATTTTTCAAACTTTTCTTCTTTTTTACAAGAAGAATCTTTTTCTTCGCTCTTCTTTTTTTCCGTTTTGGCGTCCGTTTTGTCACACACTTGCACGTGCTGCGTTTGACTCTTGCTTTGTTTAGCTTCTTTCTTTTCGTTTTTCTCAGAACAAGAATCTTTCTTATCCTTGTCTTCTTTCACTTTTGCTAACACTTTCTGACACACTGTTTCCTCATGTTTGGTCTTTTCGTTTTTCTCAGAGCAAAGATCTTTCTTACCTTCTTCTTTTGCTTGTGTCTTCGCTTTCTCGCATGGATCTTCCCGTACCCCAAATCTTTCAAGTTTTTCTTCATTTTTTAGACAAGTATCTTTTTCTTCGCTCTTCTTTTCTATTGTTTTGGCGTCCGCTTTCTCACACACTTGGACATACTGTTTTTGACTCTTGCTTTGTTTAGATTCTTTCTTTTCGTTTGTCTCAGAACAAGAATCTTTCTTATCTTTGTCTTCTTTCACTTTTGCTAACACTTTCTCACACACTGTTTCCTCATGTTTGGTCTTTTCGTTTTTCTCAGAGCAAGGATCTTTCTTACCTTCTTCTTTTGCTTGTGTCTTCGCTTTCTCGCATGGATCTTCCCGTATTCCAAATCTTTCAAACTGTTCTTCTTTTGGATCTTTTTCTTTGCACACCTTTTCTTCTACTTTTGGGCCCGATTTCTCAGACGTGCAGCTGTCAGATACTTTTTCTTCTTTACATTCAATCTCCTTCTCGCAGGGGTCAACAGTTTTTTCTTCTTTACATTCTTCTTTGGTTTCTAACGGTTTACAGATGAATGCAAATTTAGGGCACTTTCTAATTGGTCCAACACTCTCTCCCCTTTCGTTTCTACTCTTCTCTCTTGTCTTATCTTTTTTCGTGCAAACCTCTACATATTCTTTCTTTTCTTCTTTGCTCTTGCAGATATCGCTTTCCGCTGTCGCGCTTTTCGTGGCCAGTGCCAAACACAAATTGCCCAATTTTGGACCTTCCTTTTTCGAATCTTCCTTTTCCAAGTGGCATTCCTCCTCCTTTTTGTTACAAGGGTCAACTTTAATACCAAATTTTTGTATTTTTTCGTTGTCGAAATGTCTCGGTGTGTACATATTTTTTTGATCACACGGATCATCTTCTGAATGTTTTTCTTCTTCGTCTAGGCAAGAGAGGGTCTTGGTTTGATGTTCTGTATCGCTCTTTTTGTGGTCTGTGTCTTTACAGGTTTCGGCCTCAGGTTTTTCGGCGTTCTCTATTTGAAGTTTTTTTGTATTCGAGTTTTTTTTTACTTGGTCTTCGTGCTGACAAATACCAAAAGCCTTAATGTCGTCATTCGAATCTTCAAATTCGTCTTCTTCGTCCTCTTCATTTTCTTCTTCTTCATTTTCTTCCTCTTCCTTTTCTTCGCATTCTTCTTCTTCTTCCTCGTCTTCTTTTTCTTCCTTGTCTTGTAAATCGGGGCACGGGTTACTGAATTTTGGACAAATCTTAGTGCCATCTATGTCTTTCTGTGGTTTTTCATGTTTGCCAGGAATCGATGTTCTCTGTTCACTCTTCTCCGCTTTCTTACAAATGGGCGTAACTTCTTCCCGACTGTCTTCGAATTCCTCTTCCTCTTCTTCTTCCTCCTCCTCCTCCTCCTCTTCTTCTTCCTCCTCTTCTTCCTCTTCCTCTTCCTCTTCTTCTTCCTTTTGACTTGCTGCACATGGTTCGAGCAGATTATCAGAACGTTTAGGTTTTGTCGCTGTACGTATTTCTTCTGTGTTTTTCGATCCTACAATCTTCGCAAAAATTCCATCTTTGATACCACATAAGGAAGCAATCATGCCTTTCCCGTCTATCTGTTTGGTTGCGTCTTTAGGTGCGACCATCTTAGTCTTTTCTTCTTTGCTATTTTCCTTTTTCTCTTTTTTATCTTTCTGTTCTTTCAGTTTTGCTAGCACTTTCTGACACACTGTTTGCTCGTACTGCGTGTGACTTTTGCTTTCTTTTGATTTGTTGGTCTTTTCGTGTTTATCCTTTTCTTTTTTTACTTTCACACATGGATCTTCTTGTACCCCAAATCTTTCAAACTTTTCGTCTTCTGTTCTGCAGTTATCTTGTTTTATTTCGTTCGTTGTTTCTTTTGCTTCTTCGCATTTTTCGTCGATTGTGTCGTTAGTTTCATCTTCATGTCGGATGCCAGGTTTGATGATTTCGTACATACAGGGAACGAACAGTTTAATTCCTGATTTTACTTCACTTTTCTTGGGTTCTTCACCACGTTCTTCGTTAAGATGTGCGCTTCGTACTCCCGACTTGATTTCTTCATACTGGCAAGGAATGAACATCTTAATTTTTTCTTTTTCCTTCTTATCTGTCTCTTCAAATTTCTTGCAGATATCTTCTTCCTTATCATGATCGGAATCCTTGCATTCTATGTTAATTCTTTTGGCAGAATCTTTGGAATCCTTTTCCAATTTCTCGCAAACTTCTTCCTTCTTTTCTGTAGCTGCTTCTGCTTTGCATTCTTCTGTCGTCTCGTGGATTTCTTCCTTCTTTTCTTTATTAGCATCTTCTTGTGCTTTCTCCTTGAAGCAAATTTCTTGTACCTTTTGAATTTTGTCTAGTCCTAGACAAAGCTTCTCGCGTACAAGTTTTACGCTACCACACGGAGGCTGGGGTAAGGCCTTGCCTTCATAAAAACTGACCAACTTCTGCACACTTTGATCTTCCGCGTAGCACTTCTTGTCTCTTGGTGGCACTTTCCCTTTTTGAGGAATAGTCGTCTGCTTCATCAATTTACACAAAGCTATTGTCTTCATCATGGGGCTTTGATCCGGTTCGTTACATTTTTGTTGTTCGAGGTTTGTCGTACATGGAACATCTTCGATGTTGCGCAGCTGTCTGGTGCTTCTGGCTGTAGATCCCCTATTCGGCGCAATAGTTTTCAGCTTCGCTTTTCTTAAACCTCGTTGATCCAGAGGCTTTTTATCATTACAAGCACTTTTTTGTGGTTTCTTCTTCTCCGATTTCTTCTTGAATTTTGCAAAGAAACCCCCTTTCGAGTCCTTGCTCTTCGTCTTTTTTACTACCTTTTGCGTTTTCGTGTTAGAGACACACGGCAACGATGTACACTTTTTGGGTTTACGTTTTTTCGGTTTGGGTTTTTTTGGTTTGAGGTTGCATATTTTGACAGGTTTGCCGTCTTTGTGTTCGCAGGTAGGAGCGGTGGAACAGGTGACCAAGTGTGGTATCTTCACGGCTTCTTTTTCTTTGTAACTGGTGTATTTTTCGGGGGTGCAGGATAGGTCGAGTTCGCGAAGTTCTCGACAAGGTACTAGAGGCTTAAGTTCTTTCTTTTCCGCATGGTTGTCGTCCGTACAAAGGTTTTTCTTTTCTTCTGTATCTTTGCTTGCTTCTTCGCAAACCGTTTCTTTATCTTGTTCTGTTTTTTTCATAGATGGTGGTGCTGTGTAATCAACAGGGGCTTGCGGTCGAGCCCATTTGCTACCTTTTCTGTCTCGTGTCGGCTCTGTGTAGTCGCAAGCAGCAGGCCACATTTTTTGTGTTTGAGGTTTAGCTTTTTTCCTACAGTCTTTGATGTTATCAATTTTTTTTGGTTTCGCGCTGAGTCCGGCTGCTATGCATTTATTTTTGGTGTTGTTCTTCGGAGATTTCTTCCTTTGGCAATCTACCAGTGGTTTTAACTCTTTTTCTTCGTCGTGTCCCGAGCAATATTGTCTCTTTGGTGGTTCCGTGGGGGCCGAAAGAGAATTTTCGTTAGAAGACTTGGTTGTTTTGTTCTGTAGTTCTGGACAAGGTTTGTTGGAAGCGTCTGAGTGTACTTGACGACTTGACTTTTCGAGGTTCTTTGAACTTGACGGTTTTTTACTGTCTATGATTTTTCCGTCTGATTTGCATACTTGTATTTTGCCGGTCTTGTCCTCTCCCTGTCGACACGGAATCATTTCTTGGAGTGATTGGCACTTAGAATTCTTTTCCAAGATCGCTAGAATGTATTTACGAGAATCTTTATACGGTGGTTGTTTCGTTTTACTTTTGTCTTGAGTTTTGTCACTTGAACCTTGCTTAGTTATCGCTTCAGCTGAAACGGTTTTCTTGGGAGGTATTGGTTTCGTTGTTCCGAACAAAGCGTTATAAATACTAGCAAACAAACTGCTCTTTTCTTGTGGTACATCTTTCTTCTGTTCGGGAACTTTTGAGAGACTGGTATTCGAACCTTTATGGCGCACTTCTGTAGATTTTTTCTGTTGTTCCTTCTTCCATGTTTCTTTCTTCTTGTGACTGCTTTCTTCCTTCTTGTGAGTGCTTCCTTTCGACATGAATTTGTCGTATGTCCCGAGGATAAGAGAAGTGTTTACCGCATCTGCTAAATTGAAGTCTCGTTCTTCGTCTACTTTTTTTGTGATTTGTGGACACACTTCTATCAAATCTGGCTTTTGTTCTTCTTTATCTTTTCTTTCGTGCTGTTCCCCGTCCTCTTTCTTCTGTTTGTCTCTGCACGAATCTTGTTCTTCTTTCGTCTTAGTTTTCGGATCTTCTTTTTTAGTCGCTTTTTCTTTGTCTGCCTTTTTGCAAGGGTCGTGGTTTATTCCAAATGGCTTGTCTACTGTCCTTGATGTTCTGTCGTGCCAGTCTAGATGTTCATGTTTCTTTGTGTGCTCTTTTTCGCCTGCTGTTTTAGAAGAATCTTTGGGGTCTCCTTTTTTGCCAACGTCTTTCGACTTCTTCATTTCCTTACAGATGTTCTTCACTTTCTCTCTTTCTTCCTTTGCTTTTCCTTTGTTAGAAGAATCTTCCTCTGTTCTTCCTTTAGGTTTTTTTATCGCTTCCTTGCAATCGAGCTTCACTGTTTCTCTTTTACCTCTTTCTTTGTTACAAGAATCGGTGTCGCCTGTTCTTTTATCCTCGTTTTTAGATTTTTGGGGATCTTTTTTTTCGATGTATTCTTCGTACTTTTTCATCGTTTCCTTGCAGGTGATCTTGACTTTCTCTCTTTTTTTCTTATCTTTTCCGGTGTCACAAGAATCTTTGGCCGCTCTTCCTTTAGGTTTTTTCTGATCTGTTTTTTCAACATGCTTCTTCGTCGCGTCCTTGGAACTTAGTTTCACTTTTTCTTTCTTATTTTTTCCTTTGTTACAAGGATCAGTGTCCGCTTTTCCTTTATCCCCGTCTTTGGGTTTTTTGTGATCTTCTTTCTCGACGTAATCTTTATACTTCGCCATCATTTCTGGACAGATCTGCACTTTCTCGCGCTTCTTCTGGGGTTTGTGTTTCTTCTCCTTTGCTTCTTTTTCGCAAGTATCACTCGTTTGTTTCTCCTCTGGTTTGTCGCATTTTATGTGTTCTTCGTCTTTCTGGTCAAGTTTTGGTTCTTCTTGATTTTGGGTTTCGTTACAGTCTTCTGTTTCTTTTTCCTGAAAATCGGGACACGGGTTTTTGAATTTTGGACAAATTCTTGGTACTGGTTTAGAGGCTACACTTTCTTCAGGATGGACTTTCGCTTGAGTTGCTTCTTTCGCTTCATCTTTACAAACTTCTGACTCTTTTGCTACCTCTTTGACTTTAGTGGTTAGCCTACTGGTCCTTATTTCTTGTTTTAGATTTTTTACGTTCTTGGAAGCCTTCGATTTCTTTTGTTTGTGTTCCATTCCGTCGGACTTTACGTCGTCTGGGTTGCGGATACCAGGTTTGATTTTTTCGTGTTCGCAAGGCTTAAATATTTTGATCTCATCTTTAGATTTTTCCTTGTGTGTTTTGTCATCTGGTTTGGTTTTTTCGCGTTGACAATCGTCTTCAATCTGGGTTTTTTTGCCTTCTTCTGTTGTATTTTGAACCTTCGGGCAAACTTCTAAACCTTGAATATTTTTGCCTTCATGGTGAGCTTTTGTTTTAGTGGTTTTTGGCGCTTCTTCCTTACAAACTTCTTCGTGGTCTTCTTTTAGTTTCTCTTTTTCGTCGGTCGCTTCATCGTCAGGCTTGCGAATACCAGGTTTGATGTGTTCGTGTTCGCAAGGCTTAAACATTTTGATCTCGTCTTTGGATTTTTTGTCACTTGCTTTTTCATCTGGTTTGTGTTTTTCGTCTTCGCAAACCTCTTCATTCTGGGCTTTGCAATCTTCCGTTGCTTCTTGAAAATCTGGACACGGGTTTCTAAATTTGGGGCAAGGTTTCACCGCTAGTTTAGAACCTTGAGTATTCTTGTCTTCAAGGTGAACTTCTATTTTAGTAGATTCCGACGCTTCTTCTTTACAAACTTCTTCGTGATGTTTTTTTGACTCCGTTTTGGTCTCGTCCGTTTCGTCGTCGGGTTTCCGTATTCCGGGCTTGATTTTTTCGTACATACAAGGCGCAAATTGTTTGATTTTTTCTCCACTTTGTTCTTCGTGTTCTTTGGTCGCGTCGTCATCCGGCTTGCGGATTCCGGGTTTGATTACTTCGTGTTCGCAAGGCTTAAAGACTTTAATCTCGTCTTTGGATTCTTTTTCTTGTGCCTTCTTTCCTTTTTGTGTTTCGGTGGTGCTACTTTGTTTCTGTTCTTGTGCATTGTCCTTTTTGCCTATTTGCTTACAGCCAGTAATTGTGGCAATAATTATGTCTTTGATCTGTTGGTATTTACACGTAGCCAATTCTGGTTCTTTCTCAGCAGATGCATCTATTTGTTTAGAAGTCCCTCTACTTCCTTCTTTGCGTCCACACCCTGTGATTTTCAGAAGAACTGCATCTTTAATATCTTCGTATTTACACGCATCTACTTGTTTAGTGGTCGTTTCACATTCTTTTTTGTGGACAGAAGTTGTGATCTTCTGAAAATCTGTATCTTTAGTGTTCAGATATTTGCGCGCATCTATAGGTTTAGTGGTCGTTTCGCATTCTTCTTTGTGTGCACCCCCTGTGATCTTCTGAAGAACTGCATCTTTAATATCTTCGTATTTGCACGCATCTACTTGCTTAGAGGTCCCTCTACTTTCTTCTTTGCGTCCACAACCTGTGATTTTCTGAAGAACTGCATCTTTAATATCTTCGTATTTGCATGCCTCTACTTGTTTACTGGTCGTTTCTTCATATTTTTCTTTGTGTGTAGACCTTGTGATTTTTTGAAGAACTGCATCTTTAATATCTTCGTATTTGCACGCATCTGTTTGTTTACTAGTTGTTTCACATTCTTCTTTGTGTGCAGATCTTGTGATTTTCTGAAGAATTGCGTCTTTAATATCTTCGTATTTACACGCATCTACTTGTTTGCACTCTGTGATCTTCTCAAGGGTTTTGCTTTTGCACGGATCTGCCTGTTTATCGGTGGTTTTGCATTCTTCTTTTTGGGCAGACCCTGTGATCTTTTTCAGGATTTCATCTTTAATATCTTCGTATTTGCAGGCGACTACTTGGCTGGTAGAGTCGACCTTTTCCTTGTTGCTTTTTCCAAGAATCTCGTCCTTAATGTCGTCATATTTACAAACAACTATCATCTTTGATTTAGAAGATTGGTGGCTTTCTTCATCTAGATTTTCTTTACAATCTTGATACTCTAGACTTGCATCCGATTTATATGCGTCAACTGTCTTTGATTCTTGGCATGGAAGGAAAGTGTCTTCCTTTTCTTCGACTTTGTGGCTTGATTCAGCTTTCGCTTTAGTAGAATTTTCAGTTGGACAAGAAGAAACTTTCGACATATCGGCTTTCATTGCGTCCGGCGTTCGAATCCCAGGCTTGATTTCTTCATATTTGCAAGGAATAAATTGTTTTATTAGGTGTTCAGTGTCCTTTAATATTGCATCAGTTAAAGCTAAAGTAGAATTTTTCGTACCTTTAACAGATGTCAATTTTTGTTCTTGTTTCTTCATTTCTGAGCAGCCCTTTCCATACATGGCAGATGTTGCAAATTTGGTTTTTGTTTTTGGAACGGGAAGTACATGTTTTTTTGAGGGTTTCTTCTGTTTCTGGTTGTCTTCACTTTGGTCCAATTGCAATGTTTTTTTTCTATTTTGGTCATCGTTTTTTGGTTCTGCTTTACGTAGAACGTAGAGTACTGAAGGCTTATTTTTTCTTTCGGTTGTTAGACACGTGTCTTCGCGTCTAGGTGTTTCTTGATCAGAAATTTCTAATTTCAAACATAAATGTTCTTTGCTGGTTGCTCCATATCCTTTTTCTTTAACAAATTCGCTGCAGTTAATTTTCAATATCTTTTTTTCCGTATCTTCTTTCTTCTGATTCTTCATTCTTTTGTCGGTCTTTTTACTCTTCGACTTCTTCTTTTCGCCTGACTTATTACAAACACTTGAAAGTTTCTTGTCTGTTTTCGCCGCTACAAAAAAAAAGAAAAACTAGTAGAACATAGATTGACAGCACCAAGTGTTTCTGTCTATTGTTGAAGAAACTGAGAACGTGAATCAATATCTTGGCTTTCTTCATCAGTGACAGTGACGAGGGTAAAGAAATCAAAAATATGTATACTGAAGAATAGATTTAATAGCAGACTATAAAACATAAAACAAGACACATTTTCAATTTCCAAAAACCTCGATGCTTAGATATAATTAAAATTATTTACAGTCGTCTTTCGTCTTTTTGAAGCACTTATCCTCGGTGAGCTGACATGAATCTTCGGACGCATCTCTTTCTTCGCAACGATCTTCGTTTTCTTCACGTTTTTCATTTTCTTTAGGACACGAGAAGCTAAACTTCTGGCAAGCACCTTTCTTCACGTTAGTCTCTTCTTGCTGTTCTTCCAGTTCGTCACATTTTGACTTCGCTTCTTTGGTTTCTTCGCATTTATCGCCTCCTTCTGCGTTTCTTATTCCAGGTTTGATGTCTTCGTGCTGACAAGGAACGAAAACTTTGTCTTTGGTTTGTTTGTCAATTTCTGCGATTTTTTTGTGGATTCTGTGTGTTTTGGGACACTCCTTTTGGTCTTTGGTCAGTGCTTTACCCGACTGAGAGTCATCGATTTTTATCATCTTTTTGCACTGGGTTATGCACTGCATTAGAGGACTTTGATCAGAAACTGAGTCTTTGTGATCTTTCTCATCACATTTAGTCTCCGCTGCTTTCTCTGTACATTCATCACTTTTCTTTTCTTCATCGCATTGTTCTTTTGACTCAGATTTCTTCTTTTCTTTCGAACAGTCAGCTTTTACTTTGTGTTTTTTCTTTTCTTTGCCAGACTTGGTATTTTCTTTAGAGCAAATTACGTCGGATTCCGACAACTTTTTCTTTGGTTTCGTTTTGGCTTTTTTGGATTTCTGCTTACTGGGTTCTATGCAGATGCAAGATTTTTTTATCTCTCCTTCTTTCTTATCGTCTGTTTCTTCTTCGCATTTATCGCTGGATGACTTCTTCGCTTTTTTCTCGTTCTCGCAATGATCGTCTGACGATTTCTTGTCCCTTTCTTCGCAAGTGTCATCGGATTCCTTCTTTTCTTTTTTCTTCACAGCGCTAGGTGCGTTATAGCTGCACGGCGATTTTGGACGCTCAACCTTTTTCGTTCGTTTCTTCTTTTCGAATTTCTCGCATATTTTTTCATAGAAGTTCTCCCCTCCCATGCCGTGGCACTCAGGTCCAGATTCTTTCTTCGGCTTCTGCTTTGCTTCTTTTTTATCTTCCTTTTGCTTGCAAACGTCGCTAGACGACTTCTTCGCCTTTTCCTCCTTCTTGCATTCTTTGCTAGACGTCTTCTTCGCCTTCTTTTTCTTCTCTTTGGAATCGCACGACTTGGTTTCTTTTTTCTCGTCGGTTTTCTTGCATGCAGTGTCCGCTTTCTTGGCTTCTTTCTTTTCGCTTTCCTTGCATTCGTCGACCGCTTTCTTCGGTTCTTCTTTGCACTCCTCTTCAGCTTTTGCTTTTTTCTTCGGATCAGGCTTGGGTTTATGACAGTATTGCGGGTCTAAGTCGATCTCACACCCTCCACTTTTTATTTTCTTCACGGGTTTTACTGTTTTTGCGGATTTGACGACAGGTGCTGATTTGCTCTTGGCAGCCGTTTTTGACGCTTTCTTGGTTACTTTCTTTGGGTCTGAAGGACTACTCTTACTGAAGATACCGTCACAAACGCTCTTCAAGAAGTTCTTGCTACCAGCTACTACATCTTTTTCTTGTTCGTGTGGTTTTGGTAGCGGGGTATCTAGTTTCGGGGACTCGATACACTTCTTGTCCTTGTCGTGCATTTTGGCCTTTCGACAGTTCTCCAGTTCTTTCTTCAATTTGGCGATTATTGCTTTACATTTTGCGTCGAGTTCCTCCATTTTCGCTTTATCGCAAATTTCCTCTTCGGTATGCAAAGATGCTTTTTTGTGGTCTTTTTTTGCTGCTTTGTCGTCTTTGGTTGCGCTTTTCTTCGCCGATTTGTCTCTTTTCCTTTTTTCCGGTTTGTAGGAAGATTTCTTCGTACCGGCTGATACTTTCTTTATACTGAGCTGCTTCCTCTTCTTCTCGGCTTTTTTGCTGGTGCAAGGTTTGCACGACTTGTCTTCTTCGCCCTTGGTGTCTTTGTTAGATTTAGCGCTTTTTTCTGCCTTCGTTTCGAAATTGTCTTTGCGAGGTTTTTTCTCGGTAGCTCCTTTGTCTTCATTTAGTGGCATACACGTGTCTACTTTCTTGGTAGGTAAGTGGTGTTGACTAGCTTTCCTGACGAATTCTTTCGACGAAGCTTGCTTGCAAGCTTGGAAGAGTCTGGACGGTCTGGGACCTTCCACTTTGATGGGTTTCGTCGCGGGATCAGGTTTGGGCTTGCTGCTACAGACGAAGTCGTATTTCATGCATTTCTTGCTGATCCACGTGCCCGTAATCGCTTGAACGTCAGCCCGTGAGGTTTCATTCTCTACCTTTTTGTATTTAGGGATAAACACTCTCTTCGGTTTACCGATCTCCTTAGTATCGACTTCTACGCATTCCTCAGTCTCTTGGTTTACATTTTCGCTGCTGTCGATGGTACATCGAACGACGCTTCTCACACCCGGGGAAGAAATGACTTCCAACTTGGAAACCTTCTTGACCTTCTTGCTAGAAGCGCGCTGGTTGATTATGTTGTACTTCCTGAAAAGGTTCTTTCGTTTTTCTTCGGATGAGCTTCCAAAGCAGATCGACTTTGCGTGACTCCTTCCAACTGCCAACACCGGAAGTTTGGGTTGCGCATTTACAGCGATCGACGAGAATAGGGAGTTTGCTTTGTTGAAGATAGGTCTCGACGATACCTGAAGGCGAAGCTGAAGCTACACGAGCGAAATTTGAGGTATACGTACCACAGCACGGAAGAACGATTTTGGCAGGTTTTTTAAAAACAAACTCATACTAAAATTTTGAATGCATAATAGCTCGAGGACCTTTTGGAAATGGGACGTCTAATTTTGATTTTTTTGACAGCACAGTTTGGTTGTCATGATTATGCGTGTTTCTAGGAATTTGATTCGGCTACCTAAGACCACACCTGAGGGGTACAGGGTGTTGTTGTATAGTGTGAGGGATCCGGATCCTACTAAGATGATCTTCAGCGACGCTGTCAAGGGGTTTTGCATGTACAACGACTGCGTGTTGTCGGAGGATGGGCTAGCTGAAGGGTAATGCTACGATTGAAGTACTTAATTTATTTCTGATTTGGTTTGTGTTTTAGTTATGTTGTCATCTTCGATATGAGAGGGGTTAGCATTGGCCATCTTGCCAGAGTCAGTCTTCCTGCTTTAAAAGCCTTCATGTTCTACATACAGGTGAGTTTCGGGTGTTTGAAGCTTGACAGTTCAATTGTGTCTTTCAGGATGCTCACCCAGCCCGTCTCAAAGGCATCCACATCCTGAACACGGCCTCCTGGATACACCACATCATGAGAATTGTAGTACCATTAGTACGATCGGAGATTTTAAGTTTGATCAAGTTTCATAAAGGTAATATATTGCCGCTGAAGCGTCTAAAATTTTAACAATTTTGCTTAGGTATGATCCCTGAGGGAATTCCTCACGAAATTCTCCCGGCAGACTACGGTGGTGAGGCTCCATCCGTCGACGAACTAGATACTCACACTAAAAGCATGGTCGATAAATACTCGGAGTGGTTGAAAGAGTCTGCGTGTTTCAAAGCCGATGAGACTAAGAGGGTTAAGAAGGCGTCCTGGTGGGGATTGTTTAGTGGTGGTAGTGCTCCAGAAAAGCTAGATGAGAAGACCATACTACAAAATTTACAAATCGATTGAAATTATAGGTTGGAATTGTTAGGTCTAGTTAGGTAGGAGTGTATTCATTTGTATATAGTCAGATTTATCATGTATGTTTAAGTAATGAAGGTTAGGGATGAGTTTGTAGATGTGATTGTTGCTCATGTACTTATTTAATATAAATAAATAAATTTTCTAATGCTCGGTGTTTTTGTTTTAGTAAAAATGATACAACAGATTTGCATTTTGAATATGTTTATTTACGAGTCAAGTCAAAGTCGTTACAAAGATCATCTTCAAAACCCCGATTAAACAAAAGCCTCCTTCGGTTTGAATGTCTTGTCCTTGAAGTTGATGGTGACGTTCGCCACGCGCATGTTGGGTGTCAAGAACTGCTGAAGATTGTTGACGCCCTCTCGTGGCAACCTATCGAACGGATACCCCATCGAGCGACGATCGGGATACAACTTGTCCTTGATCCCGCAGAAACTTCCGGCATCGCTGCAAACTCCGTCGATGTTCTGGTCCACTTTATCGTCGTCGTAATTCGAGATCATCACGAAGAGTTCGCCTGCCATTCCTTCGGCGGTTCCCTTAGGAATGAGCAAATGTTGGGGCCATCCGCATCCACAGAAATTGAATTGGTCCAACTCTGCGGTGTTTGCTCCGGGTCGTCTGGTGTCCAAGTCGCGGAAAGTCCTTTCGAACGGGATAGTCACGGTGGATTCAGTGGAGGCACGAGTGAAGGTGTTCGCACCCTGCTTCACTGAAAAAACAATATAGTGGTGGTTCGTCGGAGTCGGAGTCACTTACGCGTCACCGTGAACTTGTCCAGTTCGATGAACATGAGTCTTTGATTGCGGAAGGACCAAGTGCTGCCTCCTTCGTCGAATTTGGGGGCTAGGAAAATGCGACAAGTACCCAGTTTCGTTGTGGGGTTGGCGTTGTTGACGGTGATCTTGTAAGTGAAGGGTTGGTGTTGGAGGTGGGTGAAGCGGATGAAGACGGCACCTTTTTCCTGGAAGTCCATGCCTCGGGATAAGTCAACGTCGGATTGTTGCCAGAAGGTGTTGAACACGTTGGAAGAACTACCTTGGGATTGCACCTGGACATCTTTCACGGTGATTCCGGAGTAGTTGAGTTGCTCGACGGTGTAACGGGGAAGAGTGGCTTTGTGTTGTTGGAAGATGTCGTCGATGTAAGCGTGCCAGCGGTAGAACACGGGATCGCGCATTGCTGTAGCTACGTCTCCCATCACACCAAAGGTTTCCTATAAATTCATCAGAACGTGAAAACCACAACATAAAATCTACTCACCAAGTATCTATGATCGGGATCGTGGATGTACGCCAACACAACGTGACCCATGTTGTGCAAGTCTCCGTAGTAGTTTCTATTCGGTGACAAAACGCTCGATTCGATTATGTTACCTAAGGTGTCAATACCGTCATTCTCCCCCAACTCAATCGTTTGTCCTTTTTCCTGTCAAAATCGACAACGATTACCAAACCAAACCAAAACATTCAACCACCTACATTCATCACCGTCCCCTTCTGAATGGCATCCAAAATCCTATTGCTCCACCGCTTCAACTCATCAACGTCCAGCCTAACCCGATCCACGGCCCGGTCTATATTCTGCATCTTCTGGTTAGCAACTCGAGCAGGATAAGCCCTGCTAGCCACCACGCTGTCCAACTTCGGGAAATACGCCTCTTTGATCGGCTGATTGAAATCCTCCAGTCTTTCCACTCGCTTCAACTTGTTGCACAACCTCTCGAAATTGTACCTAGCAATAATCTGCTGATGCATGTAGTAGAACAATTCCCCTCTGCGATTCTTCGCCACGATGGCGCGTTCTCCGTTCAACGGATACACCAAATGCCAATGCCAGTGGTGCAAATTCGCCCCTAAATCTTCCCTAAAATACGACAACCTCTGCTCCTCCTCGCGCTCCGAAGCCGTGAAGTCCTTCGGGATGACTAACGGCGCCCTCGAGCCGTCGGGAACGATCTTCGCCTCCTCTCGCGCTCGAGTGAAGACTTTGGAATCCACGTACTTGTCCGGGAAGAGACGAGCGAACGACGGTACGGACAAGTTCTTGGTGTCTTTGCGGTTAAGCAGAGCCACGGAGAAGGCGTAGTTGAACAAGTAGGGGTTGACGCGGTCGCGGCAGTAGCAAGCCATGGAGAGCAGGTCCTGGGTGTTTCTCATGCCCATGAAGATTTCGATGAGTTTGCCGGCGATGTGGCGGTGCTTTTCCAAGAAGAGGGAGAAGTTCTCGTCGCGTTTGATGTCCAGGATTTCGCCGAGTGGGGGGATGGAGATTTTTTTCACCGGGATTTGCTCGGCGTCTTCGCCGAAGCGGGTGGTGAGAAGTGCGCCGAGGGGTCGGTACTGGTCGGAGAGGTAGGTGTCGGGGACGGCGAAGACGAAGCCGTTGTCACCGGCTTTGTCGCCCTTGGGGACGAAGACGGGTTCTTGAGGGTGCTCGAAGAGGAGCAAAAGGTCTTGGGGGTTGTGTTTCGACATTGTTGATGGGGAAGACAGTCAGTTAAACGCACAATGGTAACTGATGATTTGGGGTTTGTAATTTTTGCTTTTATAGCGAATTTGGGTCGGATGCGAAGGGAAAAACAAGGCGATAAGGTGTTTGTGTTGGCAGGTTTGCGAGGAGGAAGTGGTTAGGGGTGGCGTGTGAATATTTTCGGGAATTGTTATTCGAAATCGAAGATACAAGGAGGATTAGAAATAAAATTGAAACATTTTAACAGGTGTTACGAAATTGCCAATGTGATTTAATAATACATCACTTTCCTGTAGGTTTTCCAGAATATTTTGGTTAATATTTTAATGTCAAACAAAATGTGGAGGTATTATCTAGCAACTTGTATATTTTTTAAATATATCTGAATATCAAGGTCCTTTTTAACATAAATTAAAAATTAAAACTAATTGTTAGCTTTCGTTAGCAACAATAAACTTGGACTTTTTTTATTCTTTCGTGACGCTCAAGAAGTAAACACATAATAGACTTTAATAAAGTTGACACCGGCACTTTGAACCGTAATATTTTTTTTATCTCGTCCGTACATTCGAATAATTTGTTTTCGTTTATTACAGTCTGTGAAATTTGTTTGTCATTTTCAGGGAAGGCGATAAAGGGAGCTTTCTGATAAGACGATTATTTTGAGCTTTTGCACGCAGGAAGTGGTAAACGAGTGGCATGCGAAAATATAGATAGGCATCTGAAAATGTTTCCAACTCTGGGGATGGATTATTTAATTTAGCAATACTTATATTCGATATTTTTTTTAATTTTATGAATGCTTAAAAGTGAATTAGCAAAAATCACCAGAGACAGCTCTTTAATAAATGTTAAATACCAAGAATTAATCCAATTTTATAAGCTCATTTTTTATATTTTTAGAAAACGTACAACAGAAATTTCATGCGAAAATATAGATAGGCATCTGAAAATGTTTCCAACTCTGGGGATGGATTATTTAATTTAGCAATATATTTGATCTTTTTTTTTAATTTTATGAATGCTTAAAAGTGAATTACCAAAAATCACACAAATTTCTATTTTTATTAATTTAAACTTTTGGGATTTTCTGTGGTGCCTATACTATCATACATGAATTGCGAAAAAATGCGATCAAAAGAGACAAAAAATGGCCATAAAGAATGCGATAAAAATCAACATCATCAACATAAGGACACTTATATCAATTTGAATAGGTGGAGTGTAATACTGTTAATAATAATAATAGTACAGTATCCTCAAACTTTCAGGAAAATGGAATGTACAATAATACATGTCGCCTCATTCATTTTTTTTGAGTCATGTGGTATAAGCGTGTAAAAAAAATACGAATCATTGATAAACCACAAGGACTGACTCTTAATACTGGACATATTTAATTTTGAGATTAAGTCATCAACTTTTTTGAGAGGATACGGATAAATTTTGCAAGGTTTCAAAGCATTCGGTTTCGAAATTTTAAAGCTAAATTTCAAAATGTTGTTATACAGTTTTGATATTTTTAACAAAAATCTAGATGCCTAAGGTAAAATTTCAACACGGATTATAAACTACTGGTACAAGTGGAGGAGCATGTTTTTTTATAACATTTAAATAACATTTGCTATAGTAAAAGTTGGAGGACGTTATATTATCGTTGGCGGGGGGGATGAACAGACAAATTTTGGTTAATGTTTTACTATCTACTCGTACATATCTACACGATATTCCTGATGTACTTACAAAATTAGACAACAATCGGTCCAGTAGTTTAGAAGATTAACTGTCTACTAAAAATCGAGACAGACAGAAAGACAGACGAATTTAACAATGTAAATTTTGAGATCACGTCAGGAATATTTTGAAGCGGATAAACAAACAGAAAAAAAGTATTAGTGATCTGCCATATTTACCTTAAAACATTTACAAGATTTCAAAGCACTCGAAAGCTAATGAAGTATAGTAATCGAGTCCATCGGACGAATGGCACTGTTATATTTTCTCGACGTTTCATGACCCCTAGAATTATTTGATTTAACTGTTATACAACAATATATACAAATCCTATAAGTGTGATGTACGAATCCGCTTTGAGTTTTTCCCTAACCGTCCAAACATAGTGCACGGTATAATAACAGTTTAACGTAAGGCATTGCGGTCGTGGTCTACCGGTTACAAGTCAGGAATGCGGACTGGACGTCGCGCGTTCGATTCCAAATTTGGCCTTTCATTTTTTTTCTTTTTGTTTCTCTCATTTTTTCTCGCATTGTGTATTATCTCTGTTAATGACGTTATAACAAACTTTTTATTGATGACATTCCCCACTTTCTGGAAAAGGTGAGAATACGCACCTCTTTATTTAAAAATCTAACACCTTCTCGGGGGTCCTAATTGTGTTTTTTAAAACAGTAAAACCATCTCGGGGGCCCCAAATGTCTTTTTTAAAAATGTTATACGTTTACATTTACATTCTCAGGGTCCCAATTGTTGTTTTTTTAATGTAAACCCTTCTCGGGGTCCCAAATGTCTTTTCTTTAATGTCAAACCTTCTCCGGGGCGGCAAATGTCTTTTCTTAAATATGTGAAACCTTCTTGGGGGTCCCCATTGTCTTTTTAAAAATGTAAAACCTTCTTGGTGGCGCCAAATGTTTTTTTTTTAGAATGCAAAACCTCAGGGGTCCAAACTGGATGTTTTAAAAATGTAAAACCTTCTCGGAGGCGCCAAATGTTTTTTTTTAGAATGTGAAACCTTCTCGGGGGTCCCAACTGATTCTTTTAAAAATGTAAAACCATCTCGGGGGCCCCAAATCTCTTTTTTAAAAATGTTATACGTTTACATTTACATTCTCGGGGTCCCAACTGTTGTTTTTTTAATGTAAAACCTTCTCGGGGTCCCAAATGAATTTTCTGTGATGTGAAACCTTCTCGGGGAGCCCAACTGTCGTTTATGAAAATGAAAAACCTTCTCAGGGGCCTCAAATGTCTTCTTTTTAATGTGAAACCTTCTTAGGGGTCCCAACTGTTCTTTTTTTGTAAAAATTAATGTAAAACGTTTTCGGGGGCCCCAGACGTATTTTTTTAAGAGTGTGAAACCGTCTGGGGAGTCGCAAGTGTCTTTTTTTTAAATGTAAAGCTTTCTCAGGGGCTCCAAATGTTTTTTTTAAGAACGTGAAACCTTCTCGGGGGTCCCCATTGTCTTTTTAAAAATCTAAAACTTTCTTGGGGGCGCCAAGTGTTTTTTTTTTTAATGTGAAACCTTCTCAGGGGTCCAAACTGTCTTTTTTAAAAATGTAAAACCTTCTCGGGGGTGCCAAATGTTTTTTTTTAGAATGTGAAAACTTCTCGGAGTTCCCAACTGATTCTTTTTAAAATGTAAAACCATCTCGGGGGCCCCAAATCTCTTTTAAAAATGTTATACGTTGACATTTACATTCTCGGGGTCCCAAATGTCTTTTCTTTAATGTCCAACCTTCTCCGGGGCGCCAAATGTCTTTTTTTAAATATGTGAAACCTTCTTGGGGGTCCCAATTGTCTTTTTAAAAATGTAAAACCTTGGTGGCGCCAAATGTTTTTTTTAGAATGCAAAACCTTCTCAGGGGTCCAAACTGGATGTTTAAAAATGTAAAACCTTCTCGGAGGCGCCCAATGCTTTTTTTTTTAGAATGTGAAAACTTCTTGAGGTCTCAACTGGCTTTTTTAAAAATGTAAAACCTTCTCGAGGGCGCCAAATGCCTTTTTTAAAAATGTAAAATCTTCTCTGGGTCCCAATTGTTTTTTTTTATGTAAAACCTTCTCGGGGTCCCAAATGAATTTTCTTTGATGTGAAACCTTCTCGGGGAGCCCAACTGTCGTTTATAAAAATGTAAAACCTTCTCAGGGGCCCCAAATGTCTTCTTTTTAATGTGAAATCTTCTTAGGGGTCCCAACTGTTCTTTTTTTGTAAAAATTAATGTAAAACGTTCTCGGGGGCCCCAGACGTATTTTTTTAAGAGTGTGAAACCTTCTGGGGAGTCGCAAGTGTCTTTTTTTAAAGTGTAAAGCTTTCTCAGGGGCTCCAAATGTTTTTTTTAAGAACGTGAAACCTTCTCGGGGGTCCCCATTGTCTTTTTAAAAATCTAAAACTTTCTTGGGGGCGCCAAGTGTTTTTTTTTTTAATGTGAAACCTTCTCAGGGGTCCAAATTGGCTTTTTTAAAAATGTAAAACCTTCTCGGGGGCGCCAAATGTTTTTTTTTAGAATGTGAAACCTTCTCGGGGGTCCCAACTGATTCTTTTAAAAATGTAAAACCATCTCGGGGCCCCAAATCTCTTTTTTAAAAATGTTATACGTTTACATTTACATTCTTGTGGTCCCAACTGTTGTTTTTTTAATGTAAAACCTTCTCGGGGTCCCAAATGTCTTTTCTTTAATGTCAAACCTTCTCGGGGGCGCCAAATGTCTTTTTTTAAGTATGTGAAACCTTCTTGGAGGTCCCAATTGTCTTTTTAAAAATGTAAAACCTTCTTGGTGGCGCCAAATGTTTTTTTTTAGAATGCAAAACCTTCTCAGGAGTCCAAACTGGATGTTTTAAAAATGTAAAACCTTCTCGGGGGAGCCAAATGTTTTTTTTTTAGAATGTGAAACCTTTTTGGGGTCCCAACTGGCTTTTTTAAAAATGTAAAACCTTCTCGAGGGCACCAAATGTCTTTATTAAAAATGTAAAACCTCGGGGTCCCAATTGTTTTTTTTTTAATGTAAAACCTTCCCGGGATCCCAAATGAATTTTCTTAGATGTGAAACCTTCTCGGGGAGCCCAACTGTCGTTTATAAAAATGTAAAACCTTCTCAGGGGCCCCAAATGTCTTCTTTTTAATGTGAAACCTTCTTAGGGGTCCCAACTGTTCTTTTTTTGTAAAAATTAATGTAAAACTTTCTCGGGGGCCCCAGACGTATTTTTTTAAGAGTGTGAAACCTTCTCGGGAGTCGCAAGTGTGTTTTTTAAAAATGTAAAGCTTTCTCAGGGGGTTCAAATGTTTTTTTAAGAACGTGAAACCTTCTCGGGGGTCCCCATTGTCTTTTTAAAAATCTAAAACTTTCTTGGGGGCGCCAAGTGTTTTTTTTTAATGTGAAACCTTCTCAGGGGTCCAAACTGGCTTTTTTAAAAATGTAAAACCTTCTCGGGGGAGCCAAATGTTTTTTTTAGAATGTGAAACCTTCTCGGGGTCCCAACTGGCTTTTTTAAAAATGTAAGACCTTCTCGGAGTCCCAACTGTTTTTTTTTTTTTAATGTAAAACCTTCTCGGGACCGCAAATGTCTTTTCTTTGATATGAAACTTTCTCAGGGAGCCCAACTGTAGTTTTTAAAAATGTAAAACCTTCTCAGGGGCCCCAAATGTCTTGTTTTTTTAATGTGAAACCTTCTGGGGGATCCCAACTGTCTTTTTTAAAAATGTAAAACATTCTCGGGGGCCCCAGATGTATTTTTTTAAGAGTGTAAATTCTCGGGGCTCGCAAGTTAGTGTCTTTTTAAAATTGTAAAACGTTTTCAGCGGCCCCAAATGTCTTTTTTTACGTGAAACCTTCTGGGGGATTCAACTGTCTTTTTTTAAAATGTAAAACCTTCTCGGGGACTCCAAATGTCTTTTTTTAAGAATGTGAAACCTTCTTGGGTGTACCAAATGTCTTTTTTAAAAATGTAACCTTCTCGGGGGCGCCAAATGTCTTTTTTTAAGAACGTGAAAGCTTTTCGGGGGCCCCAATTGTCTTTTTAAAAATGTAAAACCTCCTCGGGGGCCCCAAATGTCTTTTTTTTTTTATGTGAAACTTTCTCCAAGGTCTCAACTGTCTTTTTTAAAAATGTAAAACTTTCTCGGGGGCGCCAAATGTTTTTTTTTTTTAGAATGTGAAACCTTCTCGGGGTCCCAACTGGCTTTTTTAAATATGTAAAACCTTCTCGAGGGCGCCAAATTCCTTTTTTAAAAATGTAAAACCTTCTCGGGAGCCTCAACTGTCTTTTTTCTTTAAGAAAAAACTTCTCGGGGGTCCCAACTGTCTTTTTTTAAGAAGGTGAAACCTTTTTTTCTATTACACTGCACTGTGACTAATACCTTCTGTATCGGTTTTACTCCATAGATGTTATCACGAAAAAATAAAATTCCGCAAAATTAAATTTTAGAATTATTCAGAGAAGCAGTATTTGTTGGACTGTACTTCAGTATATTCACATTTCTAAACCATAATTATTCCTGGCAATAATCACACGCCACCCTTAACCACTTCCTCCTCGCAAACCCGACACAAACACCTTATCGACTTGTTTTTCCCTTCACATCCGGGGCAAATTCTCTATAAAAGCAAAAATCACAAACCCCAAATCATCAGTTAACATTGTACGTTCAACTGACTGTCTCCATCAACGATGTCGAAACACAACTCCCAAGACCTTTTGCTCCTCTTCGAGCACCCCCAAGAACCCGTCTTCGTCCCCAAGGGCGACAACGCAGGTGACAATGGCTTCGTCTTCGCCGTCCCCGACACCTACCTCCCCGACCAGTACCGACCCCTCGGCGCACTTCTCACCACCCGCTTCGGCGAAGACTCCGAAAAAATCCCCGTGAAGAAAATCTCCATCCCTCCACTCGGCGAAATCCTGAACATCAAACGCGACGAGAACTTCTCCCTCTTCTTGGAAAAGCACCGCCACATCGCCGGCAAACTCATCGAAATCTTCATGAAAATGAGAAACACCGAGGACCTCCTCTCCATGGCTTGCTACTGCCGCGACCGCGTCAACCCCTACTTGTTCAACTACGCCTTCTCCGTGGCTCTGCTTAACCGCAAAGACACCAAGAACTTGTCCGTACCGTCGTTCGCTCGTCTCTTCCCGGACAAGTACGTGGACTCCAAGGTCTTCACTCGAGCGAGAGAGGAGGCGAAGATCGTCCCCGAGGGCTCGAGGACGCCTCTGGTCATCCCGAAGGACTTCACGGCTTCGGAGCGCGAGGAGGAGCAGAGATTGTCGTACTTCAGGGAAGATTTAGGGGCGAATTTGCACCACTGGCATTGGCATTTGGTGTATCCGTTGAACGGAGAACGCGCCATCGTGGCGAAGAATCGCAGAGGGGAACTGTTCTACTACATGCACCAGCAGATTATTGCTAGGTACAATTTCGAGAGGTTGTGCAACAAGTTGAAGCGAGTGGAAAGACTGACGAATTTCAATGAGCCGATCAAAGAGGCGTATTTCCCGAAGTTGGACAGCGTGGTGGCCAGCAGGGCCTATCCTGCTCGAGTTGCTAACCAGAAGATGCAGAATGTGGACCGGGCCGTGGATCAGGTTAGGTTGGACGTTGATGAGTTGAAGCGGTGGGGCGATAGGGTTTTGGATGCCATTCAGAAGGGGACCGTGATTAATGTAAGTGGTTGAATGTTTTGGTTTGTTTTGGTAATTGTAGTCGATTTTGACAGGAAAAAGGACAAACGATTGAGTTGGGGGAGAATGACGGTATTGATACCTTAGGTAACATAATCGAGTCGAGCGTTTTGTCACCGAATAGAAACTACTACGGTGACTTGCACAACATGGGTCACGTTATGTTGGCGTACATCCACGATCCCGATCATAGATACTTGGTGAGTTGATTTCATGTTTTGGTTTCGCGTTCTGATGAATTTATAGGAAACTTTTGGTGTGATGGGAGACGTAGCTACAGCAATGCGCGACCCCGTGTTCTACCGCTGGCACGCTTACATCGACGACATCTTCCAACAACACAAAGCCACTCTTCCCCGTTACACCATCGACCAACTCAACTACTCCGGAATCACCGTGAGAGATATCGAGGTGCAATCCCAAGGTACTTCTTCCAACGTGTTCAACACCTTCTGGCAACAATCCGACGTGGACTTATCCCGAGGCATGGACTTCCAGGAAAAAGGTTCCGTCTTCATCCGCTTCACCCACCTCCAACACCAACCCTTCACTTACAAGATCACCGTCAACAACGCCAACCCCGCAACGAAACTCGGTACTTGTCGCATCTTCCTAGCCCCCAAATTCGACGAATCAGGCAGCACTTGGACCTTCCGCCACCAAAGACTCATGTTCATCGAACTGGACAAGTTCACGGTGACGCGTAAGTGACTCCGACTCCGGCGAACCACCACTATATTGTTTTTTCAGTGAAGCAGGGTGCGAACACCATCACTCGTGCCTCCACTCAATCCACCGTGACCATCCCGTTCGAAAGGACTTTCCGCGACTTGGACACCAGACGACCCGGAGCAAACACCGCCGAGTTGGACCAATTCAATTTCTGTGGATGCGGATGGCCCCAACATTTGCTCATTCCTAAGGGAACCGTCGAAGGAATGGCAGGCGAACTCTTCGTGATGATATCGAATTACGAAGACGATAAAGTGGACCAGAACATCGACGGAGTTTGCAGCGATGCTGGAAGTTTCTGCGGGATCAAAGACAAGTTGTATCCCGATCGTCGCTCGATGGGGTATCCGTTCGATCGGTTGCCGCGAGAGGGCGTCAACAATCTTCAGCAGTTCTTGACACCGAACATGCGCATTAGGGACGTGAGCATCACGTTCAAGAACAGGACCATCAAACCAAAAGAAGCTTTCGTTTGAATATATAATTGTTTGACTTGGCTTGACTCGCAAATAAATAAAATAAAATAACTCATTAAGAAAAATGAACAAAAACTTTTATTCTAATAACACAATATAAAATACATGATCAGTTCTTTCCGTACTTATGTAGCAACAGGTGCGCCTTCATGCTCCTGCCCCTTTTGACCACTTTGGCACAAAATTTGCACTGCTGGAACGCTCGATGGGTGGTTCTATAATGGGTTTGCAAACTCCTAAATGTGATGAAAACTTTACTGCATTTAGTACACTTGTATATAATTTGGTGGAAGCGCAAATGTTTCTTAAGGGAATGTAGACTAACGCAAACTTTCCCACATACTTCACATAAAGCTGAAAGCGACTTTCTTCTTACATTATGTTTAACCAAATGATGTCTAAATGGTGCTATAGCAGCACATGAAAATCCACACTTATCACACAGATATGGTCCCTTCCCCCAAATTTTTTCTTTAGGAAATTTGGCAACGCTTTGAGGCTTATCATCAACAGCAACAATTTCCTTTTTTGTTGACATGCATTTTTGGGCATAATTGTGATCCATTAATATTTTCATATATGGTGTGAGTTCTGTGATCACCAAGGTACCATCACACATGAGTGTATATTCTTCCTTCTCAATAATCTGTTTTAGTTTTTCTCCAGTATTTGAACACATTTCTTTCAATTTCCAACTAGATACTATCAAATTCTCACATAGGGAGCAAATTACAATACCGGGGTACATGTTTTGATCCAGTTCAGGCAAAATTTTCGCCAACATATTTTTAAACAAATTCATTTCTTTATTCTTGTCACACAGTCTAATAAAGTTGTTCTCACCCAAAGATTTAAAGCAAACGCGACACACTTCTTGCAGTGCGTGATCATGAGGCGACATAGTTTTCAGTGACACAAAAAAAGACGGCTTTTTAGCCGCAACTGGCTGCGGACAGTTCTCTTTATCTACATTTTTGGTTCGAAAATCTACTTTATTATTTAGAGGTTTTAGGACAGTTTTCATAATGGAAGTTTTGGCGTTCGATGGACCTTTAAAACCCGGAAGACGCAACGTCGGTAAACTCCCTTTTTTAAGGCGCGTCGCGTCGGGGACACGACAATGTTCACTGAAGTGTAAATCACAGACCCTATAGAAAGTGTAAATCCTACGTTCCTCCTGACGATATAATTGAATGTTTGCTATACGCTTCACCCATTCCTTAATTATCTGCGAAAAAGGGGTAATTTTGGACTGAAAACGACTCGCGAGGGATACTTACGACACTCTCCCATTCGGGAATGGGGAATCTGTGCAAAATTTTACCGGTTCCGGGACACCGCGGGACGCAGCACTGTATAGACGTTCTTGGCATGATCAATTTTAAAAAAGTCAAACAACGTGAATATAACAAATAACGAAATTATCACTGGACTTGTCTTTTAAATTTGTTCGTGAACATAACCTCAAACTACATTTAAAACCAAAACAAATGGGGAACAACAGCGACCTCTACAGGACATAAACTCCATCAGTTTTTAAGCGAACAGGAAAGAAATAAACCCACCAATTGTAAAAATAATTTAATTAAACCTCCATTTTCTCAACAACAACGTTCTCTTTATCCCTATCAACACAAATCAACACTTCTTCAAAACCTAACTTTTCCTGTTTCATAGTTTCCGGGGGGTCACTCTGGTGCACTTTAAGCTTGTGTTGTAACAGATACTCTTCTTTCCAAAACCCTCTTGCACACGTCTCGCACTTGTACATGCCTTTATCATCGTGGTACAACTGCAGATGCATTTTCAGCACCCTGTTATCTTTAAACGTTTTCCCGCAAATCTCACATATCGCCATTTCCACGTCGTGATTTTTTAAATGCTCGATGTACTCAAAAAGAATCGAAAATTTCGACCGACAGATGACGCAGTTATACATTTTTTGATTTTTTTTTCGTGTGTCTGTTTTATTTGTGTGTACGGTTTCGATATGTTTTTTTAAATAGTCTTGTCGAGCTGTGAGTTTCCCGCAGAAACCACAGGCGAAAATCGGGCCGTCGTGGAGCCGTAAATGTCTGGTATAGTTTTTGTGGTATTTGAACGTTTTGGGGCACTTTTTGCATTGTATCGTTTCTATTGTGTCTACTTTGTCGGGGTTATGGTGCCCCAAGTGCCTCTGCAACGAGTAACGATGTTTAAAACTTTTGCTACAAACGTGACACATAAAAACTCCTTTTCGTAAATGAGCGGTTTTAATGTGGTAACGTAGAATTTTCAACGAACTGAAATTCTTATTGCATTGTCCACAGTTGTGTAAAACGTGCGTTTCTAGATGTTTTTCTAAAACTGAGAGACTGCGCACCATATAATCACAATGGCGGCATTTGTATACAGCGCCATCTGTACAATGCGTGTGTAACGACGGGTGGTGATTTTTCGTCAGTTGGCCACACTTCTCGCACAAAAACTCCGGTTTTTCTTTTTTTGGCTTAAGGATGGTGTTGGTACCAAGTAGCGGCTTATACGTGAATTTTTTTTTAACGTTGGGGACCACGACTAACTTCGGGACAACCCCGACGTAGTCATGATCCAAAGCAACGAAATTTACACTCATTTCTCTATCACTCTGGAGTTCTTTTTTCACGACACTGATGTCTGCACGTTTCGTTTGTTCTATTTCGTCACCATCAGTCGACGTGTCGACTTTAATAAGCAAGTTTACTTCGTTACTTTTCACGTCTTGTCTCCGCGACACCCACCCATTAAATCTCTGCTCAGCATCTAGACATTTTGTTTTGAATTCGAAACTATCAAACAACATCTGCACACACTTTGTGCACATAACGGGGTTTAAATAAATTTCCAGGTCTACAAAAGGGCTTACTTCTTTTAGCATTCGTCGCAACCTCTCACAGTTGTCTTTGTTGTTGTCGTCGTACAGTTTGATGAAGTGTTGATTGAAGATAGCCCGGCAGCACGTCCGGCATACATGGTCAGCTTTTTTATACGGTTCTACAACAACAAAATTATTTCAAAGTGGAAACAACGCGGCCCTACCTGAAACGTAGCCTTTTACTGATTGGAAATAGGGTTTTGGTGTGTTTGAAGCCGGCTTTGGGGGCTGAGACAACAGCAGCAGATTATTACCAATATTCAAATTGGGGGGCAAAAGTAACAAAAACTGGGGTTTGACGGTGCCGCTGGTCGCCTCTTGGTTGGGTTGAGGCGGCACACTTTTCCTACAAATCCACGATCATGGGGGTGCAAAATCGAGGTTATGTTTCCACGACTTACACTTTAGGGGTTTGTGTGGCCATTGCAACTTAAATTGTCAATCTATAAAAGGTATAACGACATTCTTTGATAGAAAAGTCCACAAACGTGCAAAAATAGCAATTTGTACATAAATAAACGAAACGATTTTTAATGTCGGTATTACAGCGACCTACTATCACAGGCAGAAATTAATCAAATTAAAATAAATTGATGCGAATTTTCGAAAATTACCTAATCAAATGCGCTTTGCACGTCATTTGGTGGTTAATTACGTTGAATTGATCACCCAGTATTGTTATTTTTGCATCAACCGAACTGCAATACCAACAGCGCTGACGTCAATAACGTGCAAAAGTGAGGTTATGTACTTGTTTTGTTTTAAATTTATTGTATCGTAAAACCCTTAGAATGACTCAAACACGTTTCAAAAACGTTGGTGTACAGGTGCGTTCTCAACTTTGTCCATAAACCGACCATTGCTCCACTTTCGTCACATCCCCGTTTCATAATGACGCAACTACTTTCGAAATTATTAATAGCCTGCACCCACAGATTCGCATTTCGTGCTCCTGGGGGCTCCTTGAAATCGAGCCAGGACAAATGACAACAACCGACCTTCGATCACCATCACTACCTAACCTATAAATCTGCAGAAGAAAAACTCGTCCTAGCCCAAGGTTCGTAACTAATTAAAATTACTAATTTATTCTTTGCGAAAAACCCGCTTCTCCTTGCGCTGAAGCAATCACAATCAGTTTGTCCGGCGGAGCGTGATAAGACTTTTTACTGATAAGAGGTTGCGTCATTGAAATGTCATTGTCAAAGTTTGCGGGCAGGGCCGGGCCGAAATTTTTTAAAGCCCTAGTAAACAAAGTTAAAGTTCGCGTTGCGTAAGCGAGGAGGGGTTAATTGCCGCTGCAACAGGTTTTCGCGATTCTGTAAAGTCCCATGACTCGACGGATCAGCGCTTCTTTTCATTCACTAAGTGCATGTCCAGGGTCACCTTTGGTCGGATTTCGTATAAAAACCGTCGTCAGAGGTGATAAATTGCGAAAAGTGTCGATTATGCGTTTAGCCTTGAAGCATCGCGCTAACGTGATTGAGTGACGTCCATTGGTTGTAAGTGACTTAAGTCGTGTGGCAGGTATGTACTTACTCGAAATTTTAATTATTTTCGCGGTTAAGTATAGGTGTTTTGAAATGAGGTCTGCTTTGTTGGTGGGTTAAGGGTGCGCCACCTTTCGCTCACCGACGGCGATAAATTTCGTTTAAAAATATGATTATTCTTATCCGTGTTTTGTTAAGTTATTAGACTGAGAGCAAACAATTACTCAAGTATTGCACCAATTAACTGTTAATTATTATATTACTTAAGACTCTTGGGGGGAGGGGTTTATCACGTACTTAATAAAAATCACTCCGCTCTCAATCATTACACTGTCGTTTAGAGTAATCTTTTAAAAAGCGACGTTTTGAAGATCCCCGACCCTAGATAAAACAATCGAAATATCGGTCATTCGTGGAACGATCGTCGCTATGTCTAGTTCGCAAAAACCGCAAAAACAATGAAGAAGGAACTCTACAATCAAAACAAGAAAGACTTAACCAATCAGAACGGGTAAGTAATGACTTAAGTCACTATGGCCTGACCGCATCACCAACGAGTTCAAAGTATTGCCACAATAAATTATATAATTAAATCGATAAAGCCCTGAACTGGCCAAAACTGAGTTTATCAATCACACGTTTCTTATCATTCGTGTTTGTCAGAAGTTTGTTTGTTCGAGCAGAGTTAGCGTTGGCATGGGTGACGAGAAAAGACCGTTGGTGTTGCGGAAAACCTACGACCAATATGGCAGGTACGGCTCTGGTTTTTCCAGAAATATATACAGGGTGAGTTTTGTGTTTCAGCGTTGTGGAGAATGGATCCATGGCGGCAGGTTTAACGGTACGCAGGCCGGTATACCAAATTGAAGATTTATACAAGGAGACGGATTATGAGCAACCACACGCGACATGTACTGATTAATTACAATTATTGATTTAATTTAATTGGAGTTAATTTTAGTTAAGGAGAGCTGCCAGAAGAAGCTTAAGAAGTTTAGGTGTTTGAAGTGCTTGTATCAGACGGTTCCGTTGCTAAAATGGCTACCAAGGTACAAGAAGAAGAACTTGTTTGGGGACATCGTCAGCGGAATTACGGTGGCTATTATGCACATACCACAGGCACGTATTAAATTTTTTTCTAACGTGCGTGATCACAACAATTTAATCGTCGTAATTGAGGAAATAACAACATAAATTACCTGTTTGAAAGATTTTGCGGTGATTTTTATCAGTTAAGATTATTTTAACGTGACGCTATCATTTTTTTCAACAGAGTAGGTAATTCATTAATTCGCGTCAAGTGGCACCATGTGTTTAATTATTCAATATTGTTAATAACACACATTTTTTAATTTCGGGGACACGTGGCATGAATTGCTCGAGTGATGCAACTGAAGTGCGCAAAATTGCGTATGAAAATTTGTTGATAATGAGTTGTTTGTGGAATGTGGTTAAAGTAATAAATATTTTTTGACTAGACGTTCCAGATTAGTGACTTAAGCGCATAAATCGTACTTGCATTAAGTAGGACTTGGGGAGCGTTGAACTTAAACAAAGGGATTTAATGCGGGTCAGAAAAAAATCCTTATAAAAATAAGATTTGTGTTCAAACATCGTAGTAATTTTTTAACTTGTGTGTGATTAGAGTAGTTATATAATGCGCGGCTTGACTTTAGTCGCTGCCTTTAACATTGGTTGTGATAAGGCTTAGAGATGCTTTTGTTGTTGTAGACAGCTGATACGGAGATTAAAGGGGAACTGTTTCTTCACCGATTATTGTTTATTAGTAGCAGCCGTGCATGAGTTAGCGTTTAAATACGTTTTTTCAATGTCTTGTAGTACTATTCATTGTTTGGTTATGTTAATTGTCATTGTGACGTTTCATGACTAAAACCGGTTTCACATAGCAGCTGAGTCCATTTTACACTTGATTAAAATTGATGCTGATTTATAGAATACTTGGCGTTGTGCGTTTTCTAATAATTAAATGTGTGGCAGCTAAAACAATATTTGTGCCAACTAAATAAACATAATTCAGAATTTAGAGTGCCCATCGAAATATATTAACTCTTATCACTGACAGATAAGCGAGGCATTGTTCAAATATGGTAATTGCACAACATAAAAAAAGCAGTGGCAATTATCGTGAGTTGTATTGTAATAACTGTATACATGACTGTATTTTGTTGTGATAATAATGGCTTACCGTTAATTTACGTTTGAAAGTGTTTCACTTTATGCGCAATTATTTGTTTTTAAGCTTTTAGAGATATCTCGTATGCAACATACTTATGTACGTTTATTGTTAGCGTTAATTGGCAGCGATGTTCCAAAGTAAATTTTGTCGAAGCAAATCATCATAAAATGTAGATCATATCTCAAACGTAATTAATCTGATTTGGTACATAGCAACCAACTTTATCACTACGTAAATATATGCAAGTGTGATACATTTTATAAACAAGAGGTGTAATTAATCAATCATTGTTTGAAATGATTTTTCACTATTTAGTGGAAATTGATTTTTTTTACCTCTCGAGCGTAAGCTACACCACGTTTCGTGTGTCTGTCGTCCGTCGTCTGTTGGCGATTTTATTGGATAAGAACACTGATTATTATGAAATTTTGGGTATAATTTAGGAGTACGTCAAAATAAACCTTAACCTATACACCGTCGTTTCTATATTCGTGGTTTATTAATGTCTACATATTTTTTTATTAATCCCCCCTCCCTCCTTTTTTAATTGGCTTTTTTGTCTTTAATTGTCTCTTTTATTTTGCTAATGTCGACTCACTTTTTTTGTCGCATTTTTGTGATCTTACTTTGTCCTTTTTGGCACTTTTTATTTTCATTTTCTTGTCACTTTTTTGTTTCGTTTTTTTTTTCTTTTTTGGGTGCCATTTGGTGTCCTATTGTTTTGTAGCCTTATTTTGGAACATTTTTTGTTGTTTTTTTCCGCGCCTTTTTTTGCGGCATTTTTTGTTCCCCTTTTTATCTTTTTTCTTCGCGTTTTTGTCTTTTATGTTTCCTTTTTTGTTATTTTCTATCGCTTATTTAGAGTTTTTATTGATCCCTACTTTCTTGCGTCGTGTTGGCGCTTTTGTTAATAACATTTTTTGTCGTACTTTTTCACTCTTTTATTCCCTTTTTTTGGCACTTTTTTATTCTCATTTTCTTGTCACCTTTTTTTTTTCTCTTTTATTTCCTCGTTTTTTTGGGTGCCATTTTTCCCGGCTTTTTTTGTAGCTTGTGTGTTTTTTGTTTTTTTTTTCTTGGGGCGTTTTTTGCTCCCATTTTTATAGTCCTATTTTGGAAGATTTTTTGTTGTTTTTTTTTCGGATTTTTTTTTTGGCGCTTTTATTAACTTTTTTTATCGCTCTTTTTTTTGAGCCCTTTTGTATCGGCTTTTTTGATGCTTTTCTATTGCCTTTTTGTCACCAATTTTTTCATTCATTGTTGCTTTCTTCCTCGCCTTTTTTGGATCATTTTTTGACCCCTTTTTATCTTTTTTCTGTGCTTCTTTTGTCTTTTATTTTTCCTTTTTTGTCTTTTTCTTCCGCTTAGTTAGTGTTTTTTTTGACCCCCTCATTCGTGCGTCTTGTTGGCGCATTTGTTAATTTTTTTGTCGCACTTTTTCACTCTTTTTTTCCCTTTTTTTTGGCACTTTTTTTATTCTCATTTTCTTGTCACCTTTTTTTTCGTTTTTTTTCTCTCTTATTTCCTCATTTTTTTTTTTGGGTGGCATTTTTCCCGGCTTTTTTTGTAGCTTATGTGTTTTTTGTTTTTTTTTCTTGGGGCGTTTTTTGCTCCCATTTTGATAGCCCTATTTTGGAACATTTTTTGTTGTTTTTTTTTCGGATTTTTTTTGGCGCTTTTATTAACTTTTTTTATCGCCCTTTTTTTGAGCCCTTTTGTATCGGCTTTTTTGATGCTTTTCTATTGCCTTTTTGTCACCAATTTTTTCATTCATTGTTGCTTTCTTCCTCGCCTTTTTTGGGTCATTTTTTGACCCCTTTTTATCTTTTTTCTGTGCTTCTTTTGTCTTTTATTTTTCCGTTTTTGTCTTTTTCTTCCGCTTAGTTAGTGTTTTTTTTGACCCCTTCTTTCGTGCGTCTTGTTGGCGCATTTGTTAATTTTTTTGTCGCACTTTTTCACTCTTTTTTTTCCCTTTTTTTTGGCACTTTTTTTATTCTCATTTTCTTGTCACCTTTTTTTTCGTTTTTTTTCTCTCTCTTATGTCCTCATTTTTTTTTGGGGTGCCATTTTTCCCGGCTTTTTTTGTAGCTTATGTTTTTTTTGTTTTTTTCTTGGGGCGTTTTTTGCTCCCATTTTTATAGCCCTATTTTGGAACATTTTTTGTTGTTTTTTTTTCGGATTTTTTTTGGCGCTTTTATTAACTTTTTTTATCGCCCTTTTTTTGAGCCCTTTTGTATCGGCTTTTTTGATGCTTTTCTATTGCCTTTTTGTCACCAATTTTTTCATTCATTGTTGCTTCCTTCCTCGCCTTTTTTGGGTCGTTTTTTGACCCCTTTTTATCTTTTTTCTGTGCTTCTTTTGTCTTTTATTTTTCCTTTTTTGTCTTTTTCTTCCGCTTATTTAGTGTTTTTTTGACCCCCTCTTTCGTACGTCTGTTTTGACTATAGTTGGCGCTTTTGTAAATAACATTTTTTGTCGCACTTTTTCACTATTTTTTATCCCCTTTTTTGGCACTTTTTATTCTCATTTTCTTGACGCGCTTTCGCTCCCATTTTTTGTAGTCTTATTTTGGATCAATTTTTTGTTTTTTTTCAGATTTTTTTTTGCACTTTTATGTCTCCCTTTTTCTTTGAGCCCTTTTGTATCGCCTTTTTTGCGCTCTTTATTCCCTTTTTGTCATAATTTTTTTCACTTTTTGTTGGTTCTTTCTTCGCGTTTTTTTGGCACTTTTTTTATTCTCGTTTTCTTGTCACCTTTTTTTTCGTTTTTTTTCCTCTTATTTCCTCGTTTTTTTTGGGTGCCATTTTTCCCGACTTTTTTGTAGCTTATGTGTTTTTTGTTTTTTTTTTTTGGCGTTTTTTGCTCCCATTTTTGTAGCCTTATTTTTGTTGTTTTTTTTCGGATTTTTTTTTGGCGCTATTATTAACTATTTTTATCTCCCTTTTTCTTTAAGCCCTTTTGTATCGCCTTTTTTTTTGCTTTTCTATACCCTTTTCGTCTTAATTTTTTTCATTTTTTGTTGCTTCTTTCTTCGCCTTTTTGCGGCATTTTTTGTTCCCCTTTTATCTTTTTTCTTCGCGTTTTTGTCTTATTTTTCCTTTTTTGTTATTTTCTGCCGCTTATTTAGTGTTTTTTTACCCCCTCTTTCATGCGTCTTGTTGGCGTTTTTGTTAATAACATTTTTTGTCGCACTTTTTCACTCTTTTATTTCCGACAAGAAAATGAGAATAAAATAGTGCCATATTCTCATTTTCTTGTCGCATTTTTTTTTTCGTTTTTTTTTTCTCTTATTTCCTCGTTTTGTTTTGGGTGCCATTTTTTCCTGGCTTTTTTTGTAGCTTATGGTTTTTTGTTTTTTTTTTCTGGTGCGTTTTTTGCTTCGATTTTTATAGTCTTATTTTGGAACATTTTTTGTTGTTTTTTTTTTTGGCGCTTTTACTAGATTTTTTTTATCTCCCTTTTTCTTTGAGCCCTTGTGTATCGCCTTTTTTGAAGCTTTTCTATTGATTTTTGTCGCCATTTTTTCATTTTTTGTTGCTTCTTTCCTCGCCTTTTTTGCGGCATTTTATCTTTTTTTTACCCTCTTTCGTGCGTTTTTTTTTTGGCGCTTGTTGGTGTTTTTGTTATAAACATTTTTTGTCGCGGTTTTTCACCTCTTTTTTTCGTTCCCTTTTTTTTGAACTTTTTTTTGTTACCTTTTTTGCCATTTTTTTATTTCAATTGTTTTTCGCTTTTATTGTACCTTTTTATTATCCCCTTTTGCTCGTTACCTTTTTTGTCGTTTATTCATCTCTTTTTTTGGTATTTTTTGCTGCTTATTTTGACTCCCTTTTTTTATCGAATTTTTTAAGGACTTGTTTTTTTGGCGCATTTTTTTGTGGCTTTTATTAATACTTTTTTTTGTAACTTCTTTTGCTTGCCGTTTTTGGTACCATTTTTTACTCCCTATTTTTTTAACGTCTATATCTTTTTTTTTTGGCTTTTTTTGACGCTTATTTTGACTTCCTTTTTTTGTGGCCTTTGTCGTTTTTTTTGCCGCATTTTTTGTGATGTTTTTTTTTTGGGTGTTTGCTTGTCCCTTTTTTTCCGTTTTTTTAGTCGTTTTATTAATTCTTTTTTAGAGCCTTATCCAGCCTGTTTTATCTCCTTTTGTTTTGTGTCATTTTTTGTCCCTTTTTGTCCTCGTTTTTTTTGGGTGTTATTTGGTGACCAATTTTTTCCTAGTTTTTTGGAATCTATTTATATTTTTTTTTTCTGGCGGGTTTTTTACTTTTTTTGTAGACTTATTTTGGAACCTTTTTTGTTGGTGTTTCCTCTTTTGGCACTTTTATTAACATTTGTTTTGTTGTTTTTTTTTAACTTTTCTTTTGGCACTTTTTTATCGCCCTTTTTTATGCTTTTCTATTCCCTTTTTTGTCACCAATTTTTTTTTAATTTCTTTGTAGCTTCTTTCCTCGCCTTTTTTGCGTCAGTTTTTGTCTCCTTTTTAACTTTTTCACCTTTTTTTTTTTAATTCATTTGTAGCCGGTTTTTATTTTCTTTTTTGTCTTTATCATCTCCTTCTGTTCGTTAGCTTTTTTCGTGGTTTAGTTATGCCTTTTTTGGCTTTTCCTGTCGCTTATTTTTACTCCTTTTTTTTTTGGTGCATTTTTGTGGCTTTTATTAATTCCTTTTTTGTCGCCTTTTTTTTGACCCCTTTTTTTATTTCCATTTTTTGGTGCTTTTTTAATACCTGTTTTTGTCGCTATTTTTCCGCGCCTTTTTGTTGATGCCATTTTTGTCCTCCTTTTTTATTTCCTAATTTTTTTATGTCTGTCTTTTTTTGTCGCATTTGTTGTGGCCTTTGTCTTTTTTTTGCCGCATTTTTTACTATGTTTTATCGCCGTTTTGATTTGGCCTCGTTTTTTGTCCTTCACCTTTTTGTCGATTATTTATCTAGTTGTTTGTCTTCTTCCGTCGCTTAATTAGACTCTTTTTTGTGGCTTCTTCTTTTAGCCCTTTCTTTCTTCCTTTCTTTGCTGCGTTTTTGTAGCCTTTTTTTGCGTGTTGTTTATCCTCTTTTTTGTCACCTTTTTGTCGATTTTTTTTTGGCCCATTTTTGTCCCCTTTTTTGTGGTTTTTCTTTTTCATCTCTTTTGTCTCCTTTTTTTCGACGTCGCCTTTTACGTATTTTCAATTTTTATTTTTGCTTTTCTTAACATTTTTTGGCGCTTTTTATAGCTATTTTTCTAGCCTTTTTGTACCCTTCCTTTTATCTTTTTATATCGTTTTTGCTAAAAAGTTGATGACGTCATCACGAAATTTTAGTGTAACTAATAGGAGCGACCATAAAAAATCGCAAATTCAAAATTTTGTTCGATTGTACCTCAGGAGCGCGGGAAAATATTCAAATAAGTATACTAATAAATTGTACTTGAACCTTGTGCCGCCTTTCATAAAAACTCCACATACTACAGAAGAATAACTAACCTTGGAATACAATGACACAATATATTGATCAAACAAATTTAATAGCACATTGTTTAGAATTGTTATTGTCACTTATATCTACTTTAACATTTTGAGTGTCACTGCCAAATCGATTAGCACTTAAACTTTCATTTACATTGAAATTTTAATCGTTCTGCTCGTTTTATGTAATCTAATCAAAAAACGTGTTCATATTTTGATACCGAAATGTTAGATGTCCTTTAAGATTATCGTATAGGCAGCAAACACTAACCAAAATTTGTTCATTCACCCCCCCACAAATCCAATGACGTCATCTCAAACTTATTCAAATGTCAATCAAAAAATGAATATTTTATAACCGACTCAAACGCTTTAGGGTATGGCCTATGGCCTCCTCGGCAACGTCCCCCCCATCGTCGGCATCTACATGGCCTTCTTCCCCGTCATGGTCTACTTCATCTTCGGCACCTCCCGCCACGTCTCCATGGGTACCTTCGCCGTCGTGTGTCTCATGACGGGCGCCGTTGTCGCCGACCACAGCACCATCGAGATCCTCCAGAACGGCACCCAAGTATCCTACGAGGCGGCCCACCCCGACGCGCCCCGCCTCACCAACATCCAAGTCGCCACAACCGTCACCTTCGTCGTCGCCATGATCCAGCTCGTCATGTACGCCCTGCGCCTGGGGGTGGTCTCGACGCTGCTCTCGGACGTCCTCGTCAACGGCTTCACGTGCGCGTCGGCCTTCCACGTCGCCTCGTCGCAGCTGAAGGACCTCTTCGGGCTGCCCACGAAGAAGCGGCGGGGGAATTTCGGGTTCGTCCTGACCGTGTACGACTCGATTGTGGCGCTGCCGGATGGTAACAAGTACGTGTGGATGGTGTCGGCGGTGGCGGTGATTGTCATGGTGCTGAACAACGAGCTGTTCAAGCCGTACTTGGCGAAGAAGACGCAGATTCCGTTCCCGATTGAGCTGGTGGCGGTGGTTCTGGGGACGACTGCCAGCTACTTTCTTAGTTTCAACGAGAAGTTTGATATTTCGGTGGTGGGGGTTATACCGACGGGGTATGTTGGAGCGGGAGTGGGGGCTGGATGGCTGTGATTGGGTAGGATTTCAGGTTACCGGGGATCACTCCGCCTGTGTTTTCGCTCATTCCGGAGATTGCGGTGGATGCTTTTATTATAACGATGGTCTCGTACACTATCACGATGTCCATGGCGCTGATTTTTGCGAGGAAGTTGTCGTATGAGGTTGACTCGAATCAGGAGCTGCTAGCGTTGGTAAGCGGAGTTAATTGGTTGGATGAGAACTGGTTTGCCGCGTAGAGCAGACACGCTGGGCGCGATTTTCGCCTCTACTGGTTAGTGGTCGCACCGTTATTTGTTTACTTAGCTGCTTGTTTCGACGTTAGACTGATCTGATTTGACTTACCTTGACTTCACTTGACCTGACTTAACTTGATCTGGCCTGATCTGACGTTTTACTTCCGGGGCGTAAGTTAAGGACGTATTGGAATAGAGTCCATCGGGCGAACGGCCGCTTTCATGTTTTCCAGACGTTTTATGACCCATAGCGAATGAAAAAATAGGTCCTCCGGTTGCGTCTGTCTGTCGTTTGTGTCGATATTTATTAAACAATCATTGAAATTACTAAATATATAAATTGATGTTGTCAAATTTTGTAGATATTTTAGGGCCAAAATTTGTCTCATCATCCCCACTAACGATTTGATGACGTCACCTCAAAATTTTGTACCGGGTGTCTGGAAAATCGCGGATTAACTCTTCAATACGTTATATACGGGGATTGCGAGAGTTCCAAAAAAATAATAAAAACATCCTTTATGATGTAGATTACGAAAAATAAAACGTGATTTTAAGTAAAATTGGCTAGTAGCTGCTAAGAATGATATGAGATACTTTCTAAGAAAAGAGAGGGTGTGAGGGCGGGGCTACTAATTGTTAAGATAAGACTGTTTTTGGCAAATGACATACCTTCCAAGAAAAGAGGGGGTGGGTGGGTGGGGCTAGTACTTGCTAAGATAAAACTGCTTTTGGCAAATGAGATGCCTCTAAGAAAATAGGAGGCAGGTGGGCGGGGTTAGTACCTTCTAAAAAGATTGATTTTGGCAAATGATATGTCCTACAAGAAAAGAGGGGGTGGGTAGGCGGGCCTAGTACCTGCTAAGTTAAGAGTGATTTTGGCAGATGAGGTACCCTCTATGAAAAGGGTGGGTAGGTGAGCCTAGTACCTGCTAAAATAAAACCGATTATTTTTCCTTTTTTCTGCCGCTTATTTGGCATTTTCTGACCTCCCCTTTCCAGCGTCTTTTTTGACTTTTTTCGACTTTTGTTGGCGCTTTTGTTAATAACATTTTTTGTCGCACTTTTTTTCACCCTTTTTTGGCACTTTTTTTTATTAATTTGTTGCCGTTGTTATTTCCTTTTTTGTCAACCTTTCTTTAACGCCATTTTTCTTCCTCTTTATTTTTATTATCTCCTTTTGCTCGTTGCTTTTTCGTCGTTTATTTATTTATTTTTTTTGGTCTTTCCTGTCGCTTATTTTGACATCCTTTTTTTGTTGAATTTTTTGTGGTGTCGTTTTTTTTTGGCGCATTTTTTGTGGCTTTTATTAATTCTTTTTTGGTGGCCTTTTTTTGGCTCTTTTTTTTCCTAGCCTTTTTTTGACGCCATTTTTGCTCCTTTTTTATTTCTTTTTTTTATGTTTATATATTTTTTGACATCTTCTGACGTTTATTTTGATTCCCCTTTTTGTCGCATTTTTTGTGGCTTTTGTGGTTTTTTTGCCGCATTTTTGTCCTGTCTTTCTCTAAGAAAAGAAAGGGTGGGTGGGCGGGGCTAGTACTTGCTAAGATAAGACTGATTTTGGTAAATGAGATCCCTCTAAGAAAGGTTGGCGGGGTTAGTATCTTCTAAAAAAGATCGATTTTGGCAAATAATATACCCTATAAGAAAAGAGAGGGTGGGTGGGCGGGGCTAGTACCTGCTTAAATAAGACCGATTATTTTTCCTTTTTTCTGCCGCTTATTTGGCATTTTTGTGACCTCGTTCCTACATCTTTTTTGACTTTTTTCGACTTTTGTTCGTGTTTTTGGACTTTTGTTGGCGCTTTTATTAATAACATTTTTTGTCGCACTTTTTTTCACCTCCTTTTTAGCACTTTTTTATTCATTTGTTGCCGTTATTATTTCCTTTTTTTCTCAACCTTTCTTTAACGCCATTTTTGTCCCTCTTTATTATTTCCTTTTGTTCGTTGCCTTTTTTCGTCGTTTATTTATCTCTTTTTTGGTCTTTCCTGCCGCTTATTTTGACTCTCTTTTTTTTGTTGAATTTTTTTGTGGTTTTTATTAGTTCTTTTTTGTTTGCCCTTTTTATTTGGCTTCTTTTTTTCTTCTCCTTGCTTTTTTTTACGCAATTTTTTGTCCGCTTTTTTATTTCTTATTCTTATTCTTCTGACGCTTATTTTGATTCCCGTTTTTGTTGCATTTTTTGTGACCTTTTGTCTTTTTTTTGCCGCATTTTGTGCCATCCCTTTCTCTAAGAGAAGAGAGAGTGGGTGGGCGGGGCTAGTACTTGCTAAGATAAGAGTGATTTTGGCAAATAATATACCCTATAAGAAAAGAGAGGGTGGGTGGGCGGGGCTAGTAACTGATAAGATAAAAGTGAATTTGGCAAATGAGACACCCTCTAAGAAACGAGAGGGTGGGTGGACGGGGCTAGTACCTGTTAAGATAAGAGTGATTTTGGCAACTGAGATACCCTCTAAGAAAAGGGTGGGTGGGCGGGGATAGTACCTGCTAAAATAAGACCGATTTTTTTTCTGCCGCTTATTTGGCATTTTTTTGAAATTTTTCCTACATTTTTTTTACTTGTTTCGACTTTTGTTGGCGCTTTTGTTAATATTATTTTTTGTCGCACTCTTTTTCATCCCCTTTTTAGCACTTATTTTATTCATTTGTTGCCGTTATTATTTCCTTTTTTGTCAACTTTTCTTTAACGCCATTTTTGTCCCTCTTTATTATCTCCTTTTGTTCGTTGCCTTTTTTCGTCGTTTATTTATCTCTTTTTTGGTCTTTTCTGTCGCTTATTTTGACTCTCTTTTTTTTGTTGAATTTTTTTGTGGTGTCATTTTTGTGGTTTTTATTAATTCTTTTTTGGTTGCCCTTTTTATTTGGCTTCTTTTTTTCTTTTCCTCGCCTTTTTTTTACGCCATTTTTTGTCCTCTTTTTTATTTCTTATTTTTTTGACGTTTATATATTTTTTGGCTTCTTCTGACGCTTATTTTGATTCCCGTTTTTGTTGCATTTTTTGTGGCCTTTTGTCTTTTTTTTGCCGCATTTTGTGCCCTCCCTTTCTGTAACAAAAGAGAGGGTGGGTGGGCGGGGCTAGTACTTGCTAAGATAAGAGTGATTTTTGCAAATAATATACCCTAGAAGAAAAAAGAGGGTGGGTGGGCGGGGCTAGTAACTGATAAGATAAGAGTGAATTTGGCAAATGAGACACCCTCTAAGAAAAGAGAGGGTGGGTGGGCGGGGCTAGTACCTGCTAAGATAAGAGTGATTTTGGCAAATGAGATACCCTCTACGAAAAGGGTGGTTGGGCGGGGCTAGTACCTGCTAAAATAAGACCGATTTTTTTTCTGCCGCTTATTTGGCATTTTTTTGAAATTTTTCCTACATTTTTTTTACTTGTTTCGACTTTTGTTGGCGCTTTTGTTAATATTATTTTTTGTCGCACTCTTTTTCATCCCCTTTTTAGCACTTATTTTATTCATTTGTTGCCGTTATTATTTCCTTTTTCGTCAACTTTTCTTTAACGCCATTTTTGTCCCTCTTTATTATCTCCTTTTGTTCGTTGCCTTTTTTCGTCGTTTATTTATCTCTTTTTTGGTCTTTTCTGTCGCTTATTTTGACTCTCTTTTTTTTGTTGAATTTTTTTGTGGTGTCATTTTTGTGGTTTTTATTAATTCTTTTTTGGTTGCCCTTTTTATTTGGCTTCTTTTTTTCTTTTCCTCGCCTTTTTTTTACGCCATTTTTTGTCCTCTTTTTTATTTCTTATTTTTTTGACGTTTATATATTTTTTGGCTTCTTCTGACGCTTATTTTGATTCCCGTTTTTGTTGCATTTTTTGTGGCCTTTTGTCTTTTTTTTGCCGCATTTTGTGCCCTCCCTTTCTGTAACAAAAGAGAGGGTGGGTGGGCGGGGCTAGTACTTGCTAAGATAAGAGTGATTTTTGCAAATAATATACCCTAGAAGAAAAAAGAGGGTGGGTGGGCGGGGCTAGTAACTGATAAGATAAGAGTGAATTTGGCAAATGAGACACCCTCTAAGAAAAGAGAGGGTGGGTGGGCGGGGCTAGTACCTGCTAAGATAAGAGTGATTTTGGCAAATGAGATACCCTCTAAGAAAAGGGTGGGTGGGCGTTGCTAGTACCTGCTAAAATAATACCAATTTTTTTTCTGCCGCTTATTTGGCATTTTTTTGAAATTTTTCCTACTTTTTTTTTACTTTTTTCGACTTTTTTCGACTTTTGTTGGCGCTTTTGTTAATAACATTTTTTGTCGCACTCTTTTTCATCCTCTTTCTAGCACTTATTTTAATCAGTTGTTGCCGTTATTATTTCTTTTTTTGTCAACCTTTCTTTAACGCCATCTTTGTCCCTCTTTATTATCTCCTTTTGTTCGTTGTCTTTTTTCGTCGTTTATTTATCTCTTTTTTGGTCTTTCCTGTCGCTTATTTTGATTCTCTTCTTTTTGTGGAATTTTTTTGTGGTGTCGTTTTTGTGGTTTTTATTAATTCTTTTTTGGTTGCCCTTTTTATTTAGCTTCTTTTGTTCTTTTCCTCGCTTTTTTTACGCCGTTTTTTGTCTTCTTTTTTATTTCTTATTTTTTTGACGATTATATATTTTTTGGCTTCTTCTGACGCTTATTTAGATTCTCGTTTTTGTTGCATTTTTTGTGGCCTTTTGTCTTTTTTTTGCCGCATTTTGTGCCATCCCTTTCTCTAAGAAAAGAGAGGGTGGGTGGGCGGGGCTAGTACTTGCTAAGATAAGAGTGATTTTGGCAAATGAGACACCCTCTAAGAAAAGAGAGGGTGGGTGGGCGGGGCTAGTACCTGCTAAGATAAGAGTGATTTTGGCAAATGAGATACCCTCTAAGAAAAGGGTGGTTGGGCGGGGCTAGTACCTGCTAAAATAAGACCGATTTTTTTTCTGCCGCTTATTTGGCATTTTTTTGAAATTTTTCCTACATTTTTTTTTTGACTTTTTTCGACTTTTGTTAATAACATTTTTTATCGCACTCTTTTTCATCCCCTTTCTAGCACTTATTTTAATCATTTGTTGCCGTTATTATTTCTTTTTTTTTCAACCTTTCTTTAATGCATTTTTGTCCCTCTTTATTATCTCCTTTTGTTCGTTGCCTTTTTTCGTCGTTTATTTGTGTCTTTTTTGGTCTTTCCTGTCGCTAATTTTGACTCTCTTTTTTTTTGTTGAATTTGTTTGTGTTGTTTTTGTCGTTTTTAAAAATTCTTTTTTGGTTGCTCTTTTTATTTGGCTTCTTTTTTTCTTTTCCTCGCATTTTTACGCCATTTTTTGTCCTCTTTTTTATTTCTTATTTTTTTGAGGTTTATATATTTTTTGGCTTCTTCTGACGCTTATTTTGATTCCCGTTTTTGTTGCATTTTTTGTGGCCTTTTGTCTTTTTTTGCCGCATTTTGTGCCATCCCTTTTTCTATGAAAAGAGAGGGTGGGTGGGCGGGGCTAGTACTTGCTAAGATAAGAGTGATTTTGGCAAATAATATACCCTATAAGAAAAGAGAGGGTGGGTGGGCGGGGCTAGTAACTGTTAAGATAAGAGTGAATTTGGCAAATGAGACACCCTCTAAGAAAAGAGGGTGGGTGAGCGGGGCTAGTACCTGCTAAAATAAGACCGATTATTTTTGCTTTTTTCTGCCGCTTATTTGGCATTTTTTTGACCTCTTTCCTGCGTTTTTTTGACTCTTTTTTCGACTTTTGTTAATAACATTTTTGTCGCACTCTTTTTCACCCCATTTTTGGCACTTTTTCTTATTCATTTGTTGCCTTTATTATTTCCTTTTTTGTCAACTTTTCTTTAACGCCACTTTTGTCCCTCTTTATTTTCTCCTTTTGTTCGTTGCCTTTTTTCGTCGTGTATTTATCTCTTTTTTGGTCTTTCCTGTCCCTTATTTGGACTCTCTTTTTTTTGTTCAATTTTTTGTGTTGTCGTTTTTGTCGTTTTTATTAATTCTTTTTCGGTTGCCCTTTTTATTTGTCTTCTTTTTTTCTTTTCCTCGCTTTTTTTTACGCCATTTTTTGTCCTCTTTTTTATTTCTTGTTTTTTTGACGTTTATATAATTTTTGGCTTCTTCTAACGCTTATTTTGATTCCCGTTTTTGTTGCATTTTTTGTGGCCTTTTGTCCTTTTTTTTGCCGCATTTTGTGCCCTCCCTTTCTCTAAGAAAAGAGAGGGTGGGTGGGCGGGGCTAGTAACTGATAAGAGTGAATTTCGCAAATGAGACACCCTCTAAGAAAAGAGAGGGTGGGTGGGCGGGGCTAGTACCTGCTAAGATAAGAGTGATTTTGGCAAATGAGATACCCTCTAAGAAAAGGGTGGGTGGGTGGGCGGGGCTAGTACCTGCTAAAATAGGACCGATTATTTTTCCTTTTTTCTGCCGCTTATTTGGCATTTTTTTGACCTCTTTCCTGCGTTTTTTTGACTCTTTTTTCGACTTTTGTTAATAACATTTTTGTCGCACTCTTTTTCATCCCATTTTTGGCACTTTTTTTATTCATTTGTTGCCTTTATTATTTTCTTTTTTGTCAACTTTTCTTTAACGCCATTTTTGTCCCTCTTTATTATCTCCTTTTGTTCGTTGCCTTTTTTCGTCGTTTATTTATCTCTTTTTTGGTCTTTCCTGTCGCTTATTTTGACTCTCTTTTTTTTGTTGAATTTTTTTGTGTTGTCGTTTTTGTCGTTTTTATTAATTCTTTTTTGGTTGCCCTTTTTATTTGGCTTCTTTTTTTTCTTTTCCTCGCTTTTTTTTACGCCATTTTTTGTCCTCTTTTTTATTTCTTATTTTTTTGACGTTTATATAATTTTTGGCTTCTTCTAACGCTTATTTTGATTCCCGTTTTTGTTGCATTTTTTGTGGCCTTTTGTCTTTTTTTTTTGCTGCGTTTTGTGCTTGCTATGATTAGAGTGATTTTGGCAAATAATATACCCTATAAGAAAAGAGAGGGTGGATGAGCGGGGCTACTACCTGCTAAGATAAGACTGATTTTGGCAAAAGACTTATCTTCTAAGAAAAGAGCGTGCGTTTTTTTTTGAAACCATTTTTTGTCCTTTTTTTTTCTTATTTTTTTGACGTTTATATATTTTTTGGCTTCTTCTGACGCTTATTTTGATTCCTATTTTTGTTGCATTTTTTGCCCTCTCTTTCTCTAAGAAAAGAGAGGGTGGGTGGGCGGGGCTAGTACTTGCTAAGATAAGATATAGATATTTTAGGACCAAAATTTTTCTCGTCATCCCCATTTCAAAATGTTACATAGTCAATGCTATTTCAATGTTATAAAATGACAGATACCTGTATGTGTATTTTATGAATCCGCCTTGACTTTTTACTTTACATTTTCACAGAAAGAATCAAAATTAAATAACATATAATATGTCTTATTTTATCTATTTTTTTTTGCATGTTTAGTGTTGGGTTTGGAAATAAAGTTTGACAATAATTTCCAATTTGATTTCCTTCATTACAATAATCTTCAGACGTTCGATTTCAAATACTAATTCCAAGTTTATCCTTGCATTATTTTTATTAAAAAATAATTTTGCTCGGTCACCAGTTTTCATCAATATGTTGATTTAACCTATTCTGAGCAAACGTGACTTAACTTGATCTTACCTGACTTAACTTAAGTTGATATAACTAGAACTGACTTTAGTCCTCGAGCGTAAACTAACGAAGTATTGTAATAGAATCCATTAGGCGAACGGTTACTTTCATGTTTTCTCGACGTTTCATGACTTCTAGAGAATGAAACAATAAGTCTTCCGATTCCGTTTGTCTGTCTGCCGTCTGTTGTCTACGTCGATATTTATTAAATAGATAATCTTCGAAACTACTGGACTGATGTTGCCAAATTTTATAGATATTTTATAACCAAAATTTGTCTATCATCCTCATCAACAATTTGATAACGTCACCCCAAAATTTTACATGATAAACGCTATTTAAATGTTATAAAATAACATACTCCTGTACTTGTGGTTTATGAATCCGCATTGACTTTGTAACCTAGATTTTTGCAAAACATAATCAAAATTATATATGCCTTTTTCGTTTCAACGTTGAGCGGAGATCAGTACTCAGTTCCAACTAAATATGCGCCAAACCAGTACGGAATACTAGACGCGAAAATCCCTCAAACAATCTCTGGTTCATGCAGCAAACCAATTCTCAGGCGACAAAATACACGTCTAAACAATTTTGAAATATTTTCCATCCAAAGGGTTTAAGCAACACCGTGGGCTCGTGGCTCAGCGCTATGCCCATCACGGCCTCCCTTTCCAGATCCATGATCCAACAAACCGTAGGCGGGATCACCCAACTCGCATCCGTGGTATCTTGCGTCCTCCTACTATTCGTCCTACTTTGGATAGGCCCATGTTTTGAAAACCTACCACGGGTAATAAACACCCACTTTTAGTTGTTTCGTAACACTTCCTTCAGTGTGTCCTAGCCAGTATCATCGTGGTAGCCCTCAAAAGCATGCTCTTCCAGTGTAAGGCGCTGGTCATCTACTGGAAACTAAGCAAATGGGACGCGTTGGTGTGGATAGTAACTTTCAGTGCAACTTTATTTATTCAAATTAGTTTCGGTCTGGCCATTGGAGTCGCCGTTTCACTACTTAGCGTGTTTATGCAGGGGTACAAACCCTACACTTGCCTTCTGGGAGTAGTCCCAAACACTGATCTCTATTTGGACATCGAGCGACACAAGAGAGCGCAAGAAATGCAAGGAATCAAAATATTTAGATACTCTGGAGGGTTAAGCTTCGCTACGAGAAGCACGTTCAAGGCGAGTTTGATCAAGAAACTCGGGTTTTCGCCATCCAGTGTGCTGAGAAAGAGGCTCGCGGAAGAGGAATCAGGGAGTAGGTAAGTAATTGTCCACAGCTGGCGCTCCTTTCAGAGATGTCAATCATAACCTAACTTTGTCGTTTTTTCTAATAATAATAGACCTGTCAAATTTGAAACATTTCCAACAAACAACACTATTTCTAGTTAGTTTTAGTTCTCGTTTATTAGGGCGACTGCCATAACACGCTTAAAAATTCATTGCTTCTGTCACATTAAGTGTGATGAAGTTGTTTACTTCGTAACTAATTGCACCTTATCTTGATTGATGCTGACCACGGAGAAAATTACAGGGATGTCAGCCAGGACTTTGAGTTATTGTTGCGGTGCGTAATTCTGGACTTCTCGGCCGTGACGTTCGTGGACCCCTCGGCCGTCGACGTGCTGCGCCAACTCCAGAGCGACCTGGCCAAACTCGACGTGGTCGTGTACTTCGCCGCGTGTTCGGGTGAGTTCGGCCCCGTCCGTCCGCCTTATCTTACTCTTCTTCCAGGCCCGGTCTTCGAGAAGTTCCTCGTCTGTGATCGATACCAGAAGAAAGAGAGCCAGTTTAACATTTTCCCGACCATCCACGACGCGGTGTTGTTCGCTCAAAGTCACGTGTTAAGGACTAAACTGGTTTAAGCAATAAGTATTACGAAGAGTTATTTTTGTTATGAATTTTTTAGTACTTGTTTAGTCGAAATTTTTCAACGGTTACCAGCTGTTATTTATTCATTTTAAATAAAGAAAAGATAGACAACGGCGCTTTATCTCGATCCGCACGACGCATTAAATATTCACCTGTTTTTCACTTACTGTAATTGTGTGTTTTCTGAGAAAATAGACGGCGGGTGAGGCGGTTTTGATTACTGTGGTGGACGGAATGGCGGCGGCGACTATGATTTCCGCGGAAATGTTTGAGGTGATGGCGCCCGTGCTTTACTTAAGTCGGGTTTTCGGTCTGCAGCCGCTTAAGTGGAAGAGAGGGGATTATAACTACGTCATCGAGAAGTCGCACGCGTATGTGGCTTATAGTAACATCGTCGTGGTGTTTTTTGGTACGCAAACACCCACATTCGCACTAAATCCACCCACTTTTTTTAGTGAGTGCGAGCATATATGGCTTATCGCAAGTGTACCAACTGGACCTGATTTACTTAATCCGAATTGGCAACAGCACCCACCGTTACGTCACGTTTTCGGACGTCGGGGTGGTTTTAATCCCTTCGGTACTCTCTGTGGTGATTACATCCCTGAAAATCGACAAGTACGTCAGATATTTCGACTACTTAAGAAAAGTACGACTTGTGTGTAACGTGATTTAGTCTTACGAGAGAGATTGTAGTGTGATGGGGTTCTTCAAAAACAACCCTTCAGAACGTGGAGACACGGATTGGTTATTTACACTACTATATTTTTCACTGCGGGTATTTTAGTTGTGGATATGGTGATGTGGATTAATTTAGCGTCCAAGGAACAAAACGCCTATATTCTTTTTGGTTACTTTTTTCCCTATTATGTTTGCTATTGTTTCACGATTGTAGTGGAATTGGTTTACTGGCAGAACGTGCATGCGATTATGCGTAGGTTAATTTGGTTGAACGAAAAACTCGCTGAAGTCGCAGAGGAAATGAACAACGATATTTTGTTCATGCGTATCGACAGAAAGAAGATAAGTAATGTTGTAGATACACTAAATGCGGATAATTTGAAGAAGCAGGAACAAAAGAAAAGTGGTAAGTATGAAAGGTGGGCTTATTCGGACCTGTCAATGTGGATGCACCTTGTAGTTCTATCTCTAGAGCAAATCCAAGACCTAATTTCCGCCTACCAGCGACTAACCGACGCCACAAATTCCATCAACGACTGCTTCGGTCTTATCATTCTGGTAACAAACATTCCCCAAAACCCACAAATCTGGTAAACTTTTCCAGATTATCCTCCTGGGGTGTCTAATTCACCTACTAGTCACCCCTTACGCCCTCTACGCTATTATTTTCACCACAGGTAATAGCATGTTTATAGTTTCGCAATCGATCTGGATGACAGGACACGTTTTACGCCTATTTTTAATTGTCGAACCTTGTCACGGTTGTTTGATCGAAGTAAGTGTTTATTTTCTTTTTTTAAATGTCGTTAATGTGTTTTGACTCAGATAAAAAAAACAACGGCTATGGTGTGTAAACTTCTGTGTTTACCGTCCAAGAAAGAGGTCAGGAAGTCGCTGGAGTTTTTCTTGGACTATTTGGCCCAGTGCAGGATCGAGTTCAGCGCTTTTGGGTTGACGAAAATCCACAGAGGCTTGCTAACGACGGTCGGTGGGTGATGGTTTGAAATTTTGTTTAAACTGGGCTTTTACAGATCGCCGGAGCCGTGACGACGTATTTGGTCATTTTGTTCCAGTTTAATAGGAATTGTTAATGTGTGTGAAAAATATTAAATATGTGTTTAAACTAGTTTCAAGTACGTGTATTCCCTCCCTAACGATAATACAAAAATTAGTTAAATTGATACAGAATTACTAGATAGGTGGTGAAAGTTCCAACAATCTTTAAAAAAAAACTATAGTTGTTTAAGTAACTAATTTAACTTACCGTTGTTAAAATCCCCCTGTGCACGGTAATCGTGCCACACACGCTAAAGGCGAGTTCACACTGTGACAAACACACGAGAAACGAAATTAGCGACCTCTTGACGCCAAGTTCTGAACTAGTAGAGACCATTTTACACACTATTAGTGAGGTTTTTTTAACCTAAAACATAGAAACGGTACTTTTGGGGACTACAAATCGGACGTCACTTCTCTTAAGCAGCTATCGCACGGTTCCACTATCAAAAGTACGCGTAAAATGTGAGCCAACATCCATATGGATTCTGATATTATAAGTCTGTTGTCTTCGCCTCTAAATAATACCGCACGTAGTATGAAACAGGTTACCAAAATTTGGATAAGGCAACCCACAAGGAGGGTCTAAAATGGTGGTTAAAGTACCTTTATTTAAGTATTTTTATTACCAAAAGTATCAAGCCGTAACACTCGTTGACTGAATCTTTAGCAGGCACTAAGTATAAGTAGGCTTTGACGATCTTTCGGAGTCGCTCGGTTGAAATCGTTACAACTTGTTTTTTTAGACTGTCAACTCAGTAGAATTGTTCGTTCAAAGCAGTCACTCTTAATTTGACTGAATAGACAAGGTGCCAATATATCACCATTTCGACCACCATGAAGAAGTTGGAAAAATTAAACGGAAAGAAGGCGGCTGTGACTGTGTAGACGCTGCTGTCTTGAGAAGCCAAATTAACCCATATCGCTGTATCAATTATCAAAAGAGCTGCAGCGTAAAACATTGTTGACACACTAACAAATTTAAGAGTCCCCAATTTGGTGACTTTGTAATTGAGGACATTATCGAACTGCAACTATATATGTAGTAATACGTAGAGATTTAAAAAAAATCGGTTACTTGATTTAAATAGTAGAAATAGTTGAGGAATTTGTCCATTTTTAGCCACGTGACTACAACGCCTACTAGAGCTGTCAAGAGGACGATCGTGATGACTGTGAAGTTGACGTAACGTTTTACTGTGGTTCCTAGTCTGAGTAAGTGGACTATGGGGACGCTGTAGGCTCGGGAAATGCCATAAACGCTTGTAAATACTAAACTGGGTGAATAAAAGTCCAACAATTAATACAATACATACTGGACACTCCAATCGCGATGAAGCTATAAACGACATACGTTCTAGATTTTGTTATCGTGTAACTGGAACCACACTTTTCCCACTTAAATGGAAAAAGACAGAACTGTCGACTTAAGTAAAGTATGGCAGCCACAGAATTAAAAAAGTGGGACGAAATGGTAACGCTTGGTTTCGTCATTTTTCTAGAACTGAGTGGTCGAACTAAAACACCTATTATTATTGTAGGTTTCAACGAGTAAACACATTATCAGAATTAATGTTATTATACGTTTTAATCAAGGTATTTTAATTAATTGAAACACTCAACTGTTTTAAAAAAAAATTAACCAAATTGAAACAAAATTACTACATAGGTAATGAAAGTTGCACCAATCTAAAAAACAAAAAACAAAAACAAAATTATTTGACTAATGTAAAACCGACTTACCGCTGTCAAGATCCCTCTGTGCATGGTAGTCATGCCAAACACACTAAAGGCGAGTTCACACTGCGACAAACATAGGAGAAACGAAATTAAAGATTTTTTGACGTCGGGTTGCGGACTTCTTAACACCAATTTTCCGACTATTAATGACGTTTTTTTAACCTAAAAACTGTTCGAATGAATTTTTGGCAACACCGAATCAGGATTTACTTCTCTTAAGCACGCATCGCAAGGTTCCACTATTACAACCAAGCGGACAATGTGTACCAACATCCACATGGATTCCGATATTATAAGTGTGTTGTCTTCGCCTCTAAATAATACTGAACGTAGCATGAAACAAGTGACTAGAAGATGGATGAGACAACTCGCAAGAAGGACCTAAAATGGTCCTTAAGTACGTTTATTTTATGGCGAATTTATTACCAAAATTATTAAACCGTAGCATTCGTTGACCGAATCTTTAGCCGGTACCAAGTATAAGTAGGCTTTGACGATTTTTCGAAGCTGTGTCAACGACGGCCCGATTTGTTCATTCAAAGCACTCATTCTTATTTTAACTGAATAGACAAGGTTCCAGTACACCAACATTTCGATTAACATGAACAAGTGTGAAAAGTTAAACGGGAACAAAAACGCAGTGACTGTGGCAACACTGCATTCTTTAGAACCCAAAAAAACCCAAATCAAGGTATGAACAAGCAAAAGAGCCGAAGCGTAGATCATTGTTGCTGCAGTAACAAATTTAAAAGCCCCAAATTTAGTGACTTTGTAGCTGAGGAGTTTATCGAACTGATTTAAATAGTAGAAGTAGTCGAGGAATTTGTCTATTTTTAGCCACGTGACGACAACGCCTACTAGAGCTGTCAAGAATACGATTATGATGTCGGTGACGTTGACGTAACGTTTTACTGTAGTTCCTAGTCGGATTGAGTAGATTATAGGGACGCTGTAAGCCCGGAAAATTCCATAAATGCTTGTAAATACTAAAACGGACGAACAAAGTCTGATATTAATAATAATAGTGAATACAAACTGGTAACTCCAATCGCGATGAAACTATAAACGACATACGTTCTAGATTTTCTAATCGTGTAACTGCCACCAAATTTTTCCCACTTGAACGGAAAAACACAGAAGAATCGACTTAAGTAAAGTATCGCAGCTACAGAATTAAAAAAGTTGGCCGAAATCGTAACACTTGGGTTCGTCATTTTTCTAGAAATGACACTAAAAGGCAGCTATTATTTGAAAGGGTTGCGTATAAATAAACACATTAACAGGATTAATGTAATTATGGGTTTTATCTAAAGTATTTTTATTAATTAAACTCTAAACAACAAAAACACCATGGTATAATTACGAAGAAAAAAGTCGTCTAGTAAGCCATGACAATAGTTTAATTAAACTGGAACAAAATTACTAGATACGTGGTAACCGCCCCAGCAATCTTAAAAAAATTAAAGTATTATCGGGACAGTTTGGCTGCCAACTTACCGCTGTCAAAAGTCCTCTATGCATTACGGTTAACCCGAAAGCGGTGAAGTCAAGTTCACACTGCGACAGACACGTCAGGAGTAAATCCAAGGATCCCTGGACGTCGGTTTCCAGACCCACCGACGCCATTTTGCACACGATTAACGAGGTCTTCCTGATCTGAAAAATCAACCAAGAATAATATTCTAAACGTTAAGGGTGTGCTTACTTCTCTTAAGCAACCGTCGCAAGGTTCTACGATTAGCACTAAACGTAAAACGTGCCCTATCATCCATACCGACTGCGACGCGATGAAGATTTCGTCGTCGTCGCTGCTGAATAGTACTGACCGAAGAAGGTACGGAGTTACTAAAAGGTGGACGAGGCAGCCCAGAAGGACCGTCTAAAAACGTCCATTATTGTTGTTTGTGTACTTAAGTACAATTACCAAAATTATTAAGCCGTAGCAGTCGTTGACGCAATTTTTGGCAGCTACTAGGTGTAAGTAGGCTTTGATGATTTTCTGGATTTGGGTGGCCGAAGTTGCTGAAATGACACGAATTTATTTGTGTTTTGGTATCTAGTGACACACACATTTGTAAAGTGTCGGTTTAAAAAAATGTGGATGCAGGGTGTCAACCACGCTATTGATTTTTCGTTTGTCGATCTCCATTAACAAGTCGTGGAGTCGTTCATTTTCGCCAATTAGATAAATTTTCTCGTTTAAAGCAGTTATTCTTATTTTGACAGAATAGACGAGGTACCAATACATCAACTCTTCCACAATTGTAAACAAGTAGGAGAAATTGAATGGAAAGAACGACGCAATGATTGCGTAGACGTTCCAATCTTTGGACCCTAAATTGGCCCAAATCCCTGTATGGAACGACAACAGTGTGGTACTGTAGACCATCGTCGCTAAAGTGACAAGTTTGAAGTTTCGTAATCTAGGGACTTGGTAGGTGAGGAGAACGTCAAACTGGAACAATACCTATTCGTAATAACTTGTATTACTAACTCAACTGAAGAGTGGTACTTTATTTAAGTGGTTTAAATAGTCGACTAGTTTGTCCTTTTTTGACCACGTGGCAACAACGCCTAGTAGCGCTGATGACAGTACTATAATGATGTCCGTAACGTTGACCAAACGTTTAACGGTGGTTCCCAGTCGGATTAAATGGATTGCAGGCACACTATAGGCCTCAGAAATCCCCACAATGCTAGCTAGTACTAAAAACCAGACTGAATTCTAGTGATTTCAGACACTTCCACATACCAACTACTCCCACAGCAACGAAACTATAAACGACGTGCGTCTTAGACTTTCTAATTACGTAGTTGCCGTCAAACTTCTCCCATTTGAACGGAAAAAGACAAAACGATCGACCTAAATAAAGGACTGTTGATAAAGAGTCGAAAAAATGGGACGAAATCGTAACGCTCAGACTCGTCATTTTTCAAGGAATGAGTCAGCGATACTTGGATTGAAAGCAGATCTCCGGCAGGCGATAAGCGAAAATAATTTTCTCTTCTGACACCCATATTGTTTTAAGCAATTGGTGAACCATTCGTGATAAGAGTACACAGTGTAGGTAAACAACAACATATTAATATTTGATTGCTTTTAGTATGAACTGTTTTTTTTTGGCGGGGTGTCAAAAACAACACAAAGCATGATATACAAGATCATTTTTAAACTGAATTATTTTTTTGGGCACGCTCAAGTTTTCGTCGGTTTAGTGGTACTTGGAACTTCTTCCCTGTCCTTGCAGGTACAGTGAGTACATTTAGTAAATGTCGTGTAGGCAACCAACAAATCTTGTGAGACGGTGTTTGCAAAATTTACGATTTTTAATGTTGTTAAGTTGGTGAATACAGAAATGAAAAACACTAAAAGTTACAACAAAAACAAAGAGAAGCTGAATAATTTATTACACAATATCATAATAATTACACTTAATAGACAACAAGCGGCGTCGATAATACTGCCTGGATACTTCAAAACATTAATTAAATTGGAACAAAATCACCAAATACGTAGTGACAGCTCCCGCAATCTGCAACAAAAAAAATCACACTATGTTTACTTTTTTGTCATTACTCAACCGCAGTCAGAATTCTTCTGTGGATCCTCGTCAAGCCAAAAGCCGTAAAGTCAAGTTCACACTGAGACAAACACAGCAGAAGAAGCTTCAACGACTTTTTAACCTCTCGGTCTAAGTCAGAGCACAGTAGGTTGCAAATAATCAGTGAGGAATTTTTACACTGGAATGTTTGTTGTGAATTGGAACTTTCATGAATATATGGTACCTGCACGAAGCAACCATCACACGGCTCCACTATCAAAAATAACCTCAAAACATGCCCCATCATCCATATTGATTGAGATATAATGAAAAGCTCGCTCTCACTAGCGGTAGATATAATCGAACGAAGCAAATACGGAGTCACTAATAAGTGAAGAAAGCACCCTAAAACAACAACCTAAAAATTACTTTGGGAGCATCTCGATTCGGCAGACGTTTTAGTACCAAAATGATAAAACCGTAGCACTGATTGACCGAATTTTTGGCTGCAGTTAGGTGTAAATAGCCCCTAGTGATGTTTCTAATTCGGAAAATTAGAGTGGCTGGAAAATTATGTTATCACTGGAGAATCCAGAATCACTAAATAGTTATACATTGTTTGACTTTAAACAGTTCCGCGTTTAGTGCGTCCACACTGCTGATTTTCTTTTCGTTTTCTAGTGACAGTTCGTTTTCGGTAAATTTTGCCAACTTGTGGTTTATAGTGTCCATTCTGATTTTGATGGCGTAGACCAAGTGCCAGTACATGAGTTCTAGGACCACGGTGAACACGTAGGATAAGTGGTACGGAAAAAAGGCGAAGAAGAGACTGTAGATGTTGAGGTCACGCGAGCCGAGTTTCACCCAAATCACCGTCTGGTAAATCAGAAGCGCAGTTACGTAGAGAATGGTCGATCTAGTGACGAGGTTGAATTTAGCGCACCGGAAATCCTTCTGGTTGAGGAAATGATCAAACTAGAACAATATTAATTGGGTATATTTTTTAAAACGTAGCTACACTTACTTGGTTTAAGTGGTAAAAATACACCAGAAACTTATCAATGTTTGCGGAAGTGACAAACACTCCGATCAAAGCTGTGGATAAAACCACTGCAACGTCAATAGCGTCGACGTAAATCGCCGCTGAAGTACCCAATCTGACGGAATGGATGATGTTAACTTGATACAGTTGTGACAACCCGTAGATACTCGTCGTCACTACAAGTAGTCAAGAATCACCCTGTATATATTTGTGCGTACGTACCAATGAAAATTATAGTGACTATGCTGTAAGCAACCAAAGTTCTAGATTTTTTCAAACCGTACGCGTAGTTCAAGTTTTCCCATTTCACAGGCCACAGACAAAAAATTCGACTTAGATAGAACACTGTGGACAATTTTTCAAAAAATTGGGGCGAAATCGTGACGCGTCGGTTTGCCATTTTTCCACTCGTATGTGAACACGGAAAGTAATCGAGTGAATATTTGATGAATTCCGGGAAGACAAAGCGTTTGTTTGGTAACACCTTTCGCCGAGATTGATGTAAGGAAAACAATCGGTATAAGGCTTAAAATATTAATTTGTTTACTTTAGATCTTTCATCTGTGCATTAGTGAGAACAATATTGCGTGGTCGTGTTGAGTGTGTTTATGGTCTGAAAATTGAAACGGGGTTAAGGGGTAGAAAGACAGAAATAAATCACTTTTGTTGTATTTATTTGTGTTTTTATTGAATTTCTAATGTGGACATAATTGGGTTATTGAAATTCGATGGTTGCTAGACGTCTTCGCGACCCTAGAAAAAAGCATGAAAGGAAAAATAACGAAATAACATTAATATAAATCACTTTATACCTTCCACACATGATTGTGATTAAATTATTATCAAGTGGAGATCTTTATCGGCGGGAAGTCATCCAATATTCATGCAATTCGACTTTTCGACTACCACGATTACATATAATGATTCCATCTGAACAAAAATGACCAACACAGGTGTTACAATTTCGTTTAAGTTATTTAAGTCATTGTCCACTATCTTTTACTTAAGTAGATTTTTCTGTCTCCTGCCTTTGAAATGGTCCAACTTAAATTCCACCTACAATGTCACGAAATCTAAAAATTACACAATTTACAGTTTGTTTCTTATAACTTTGATTGGTAAGACTCAGTTAAGTCGTAACTAAGTGCTCTGTTGCGTTTTTAGTAGCTTCAAGCGGCTATGGTTTGTCTCGAGCCTACCAATTGGACCTCATTCATTCAATTAGATTGGGAACGACAGCTGCACATTATGTCAACTATGCAGACGTAGCTATAGTTGTAGGGACACCATTTATAGGGGTCGTAGTAACCGTACTAAAGTTAGATAAATTCGTCAAATATTTTTACCACGTGAATCAGTTCGACAACGAGGTCAAAATTAAATCGCTAGATCTTAGCAAGTTTAAACTTGTTACTATGTTCACAATCAGTGTTGCCACGGTTCTCCTATTTTACGATTTAGCCAACTGGGTAAGGCTCGGTGCGCACAACGAGAAGTTTTATATCGTCTTCATTTATTTTTTCCCGTACTACTTGTCATATTTTGTTATCATTGTCATCGAGTTGCTTTATTGGCATTTCACTTACTCAATCAAAATTCGACTAAAAGCACTGAATGAAAAATTCGGCGTAATTACGACTGGAAACGATAAGACACACAAGGGAAAGAACAACAACGCTGTGCACATTTTCAATGAGAAAGTGCCGCCGCTCAAATGTAAGACATTTACCAACACCAAAACGAAACTAATTGAATTTTAGTTGTAACCCATTTAGATGGCGAAATGGGAGGTATTATCAAAGGATACTTGCACTTGGTGTCGGCTGTGAATTACGTGAACGACTGCTACGGCCCTATAATTTTGGTACTACTTCGGAAAATCACTGAAACGTACTTAAAAAAACCTTTCAGACTGTTCTTTTTGGGTGCTTTATTCATCTTCTGGTAACTCCTTATGCACTTAGAACCATAATAATGAACGAAGGCGGCACAATATTTATAGTTTCTCAAATACTATGGTTGTTGGCACATATTACACGTTTACTGTTGGTAGTGGAACCGTGTAATGGTTGCAAAGTGCAGGTAAGTCAACTTACGAACCTTATCATCATTATTATTATTATTTTTAGATGAAGCACCTGTCACTCGTAGTTTGTCAGCTACTGTTTTGTAACCCCGACAAAAATAAAAAAAAGTCTCTAAAATTGCTTCTGCTGTGTCTCTCTCTGTACGTACTTATACAGGAACGACTCAGATTAACTTATTGTTGTAGATCGCGGGGGCCGTTACCACGTATTTAGTAATATTGTTCCAGTTAAAGTAGAGTGTACACTTTATTCTCACGTGTTGTACAGTTTTTTTTTGACACACTAATATCTGTTGTAGTTAGAATTATCTTCCAATGATCAATTCTTCGGTCAAAGTTAGCCGAGAAATATTTGACACTCTGGCCCCTATTCTCTACTTGAGTCGAATCATGTGTCTTCAGCCCTTGAAGTGGAAAAAGTCGGACTTTAGTTGTACCCTTAGCAAATCTAAAACTTACATTGTGTGGAGTTGTGTTACTCACGCTTTCATCGGTAAGTAGTTACGTGCTACGGTACTATGATGGTACTCCTGTTTGTAGTACTGTGTGCTGTGTTTGGCCTCTTCCAAGCCTACCACGTCGACGTCATCTACTCCATCAAACTCAAAAACAGTGCCGGGAAGTACGTTTGCTTCTCCGACGTCACAGTAGTACTATCCACCTTTTCCATCGGAGTACTGTCCACGTCGTTCAAAGTCCACAACTGCCTGAACTATTTTCACCACTTAAGTAGAGTACGTGATCACGATATTGTAATTTGACTATTAATTTTGACTTTATAGTTTGACAATTTCGTCCAAAAGCCACCATCGTCCACACGCAAGTGCCTACTAGTCACAGTCACGTCTGTAGTCATAGTTCTGTCCATTTTCACCTTCGATTTGGCGGTTTGGCTCCAAATCGGCTCTCAAAGTGAAAACGTCGCCGTTATATTCATCTACTTTTTCCCGTACTACATCGCCTATTTTTCTCTATTCGTAATCGACTTGCTTTATTGGCAACTAGTTTACTCCATCAAGATTCGACTAGTCATTCTGAATGAAAAACTGAAGGAAATTCAAAATGGCCGAAAAATGATAACGCTGACTATGACTACAGGAAAGCTGGTTAAGTTTTCAGACCAAATTGGCGACTTGATGAGAGCTTACAAGAGTTTAACGGAAGCGGCAAAGTCACTTAATGGTTGCTACGGTTTAGTGTCACTGATCATTCTGATTGGGTGCTTAGTCCATTTATTGGCGACTCCGTACACTCTACGCAGCCTAATCATAAGCAACGGCAGTCGCACCTTTATTGTCGCACAATTCATTTGGATGGGTATACACATTTTACGCTTGATGTTGATAGTGGAACCTTGTCATGGATGTTCGGTTCAAGTGAGTACCAATTTGACACTATTAGTTGTACCCACTTTTGACTTTGACGTCTAGTTGAAGGAAACCGCGGCGATCATTTGTCAGTTGAGACTCTCCAACACTGAGGACGAGTTTGTCAAGTCTATGGATTTTTTTCTGACTATTTTGTCGCAGTGTCAGATTGAGTTTAATGCTTGCGGATTGACCACAACTGACAGGAGTTTGATACCGGCGGTTTGTACTTTTTTACGTCAGTGTGTGTTTATTGAATGAATTTTTCAGATTTCAGGTGCTGTTACTACGTACCTGGTGATATTATTTCAATTTAACTAAATTAACTAAGCTTAACTTGCAATCAATCTGTCAATAAATGCACTATTACGCAACGTGATTTTTTTATTGTTCTTGTCACGAAATCTATAATACACAATAATTTCATTCACAAACAATCAGAACTCGTATTTTATTCTTGGCTTCGCATTAAATATTTACTTGTTTTCGCCGATTTATACTTTCAGTAATGATCCAGATGATTGTTCTAGACACTGAACTTATTGAAATGCGCTGTTCGCTTTACCCGTCTATCCCCTACCTATGCAATTAATAAAAACAAAAAGGCGCAGCACAGATAAGTTTATCGCAGTTGCAATCGCTATACCATGGTCCACCCATCGGTTACCATCACCCAAGAAATGTTCGAACCTTTTGCCCCGATTTTTTACTTGAGTAGGTTTATGTGTCTTCACCCTCTAAAGTGGAAAAAGTCCAACTATAACTACTGTGTGACGAAATCGTGGATCTACGTCGCCTATGGTTGCTTGGTTAACATTTTCATAGGTAAGTAACATATATAATTTTATTATTATCATTTGTTTATTATTGTAAAAATCAATGCTGCTGATTTTCGCAATATTGTTACAAAGAGATAACACGAGTAAATAATGATAATTGAACTTGAGGGAAATCAATGTTTTTATTTTTAGTAAGTACTGGCATCTATGGGTTGTATCGAGCCTACGAACTAAACGTCATTTATTCAATGAAAGTGACTAGTTACGCTGGTCTCTATGTGAAAATCACCGACATCACTGTAGTGATGTCCACTTTCACCATAGGGGTACTATGCACGTCGTACAAGGTCAACAAGTACCTCAACTATTTCCACTACTTGACCAAAGTATAGATATTATCACAGTTTTTTTTATTATTGATTTGGTGATGTTTCCAGGTTGACCACCTACTTCAAAAAAGACCAGAAAACACTCGCCACTATACTATAGTCACAACTGGAACAGTACTTGCCTTTCTTACAATTTTCATCTACGACTTAGTAATCGGGCTGCAAATGGGTTCGAAAACTGAAGGCGTTTTTGCCTCACTTGCTTATTTGTTTCCTTTTTATGTGGCTTATTTCTCTCTTTTCGTAGTCGAGCTGGTGTACTGGCACCTCGTTCATTCCATCACGGTACGACTGGCAGTACTGAACAAACGACTCAGCGAAATCCTAAATGGTCACAACTTGTGTCAAATTGACAAAAAAGCACACAATATTGTCGACACCTTGAAACCTGACTCTAATAAAGGTAAATTGATTAAATCTACATCTGTAGAGAAGTTCGTCGACTTGATGAAAGCGTACGAAAATTTGACTGAAGCTGCGAAAATCGTCAATGATTGTTACGGGTTGGTGATGCTAGTAAGTCAGTACTAAAGTTTGTTTCAAGTTACTTTTTTTTTGTTTGTTTGTCTAGATAGTACTCCTGGGGTGCCTAATCCACTTACTAGTTACTCCATACTCTCTTAGAACCCTAACCTTAGAACAAAGTAGTCCCGTTTTTATTGTTGCTCAGTCCATATGGATGGGTATTCACATCGCGCGCTTGATGTTAATTATCGAACCATGTCATGGGTGTTTTCAACAAGTGAGTGATTGTTATTTTGATAAAACACTAATGATGATTTATAGTTAAAGGACACGTCTGCGATCGTCTGCAAATTAAGGCTCTCCGAAAAAGAGAAGGAGTACAGAAAGGCTATTGATTTTTTCCTAACTTTTTTAGCGCAGTGTAGAATTGAGTTTTCAGCTTTTGGGTTAACCGCACTTGGTAGAAATTTGTTACCACCGGTTAGTAATTTTTTTTGGGATTGATAATAATTGACGTTTGATTTTCAGATTGCAGGGGCCGTTACTACCTACTTAGTGATATTATTTCAGTTTCAGTAGAATTAATACCTTGTCAAAAAATAAATGTATGCTTAGATTGTTTGTTTTGTAGACATTATATAATTAATTATTCTAAATAAAATGGCGGAGGCGCCGGGTCAGTTGAACTCTCACCTAAGAAATTTCTTCAACTTTGTTTATTATTTCACACTACGATACAAATTACACCCTAATCTAGCGAAACTGGTAAATATGTTTGTTTTCGATAAATAAATAAATAGACACATTTCGAAAACAATATAATTGTCAAAACCTGCGCAATAAAAAACCGTGGCACCAACTTGCCTGATTTTCCCATACTTTTTGCAATAAAAGAGAAACCCAAGCACAGATAAATTTTATCGCAGTTGTAATCATCATACAATGACCAACCCTTCGGTTAAAATTAGCACAGAAATGTTCGACACCATGTCCCCCATTCTTTACCTGAGTCGAATGATGTGTCTGCAGCCCCTAAAATGGAAAAAATCTGATTTCACTTGCGCTGTCATCAAATCGAGGTTTTACATCGCGTGTAGTTGCGTCGTCTGCACTGTCATTGGTAAGTAAAGAGCTTTGGATAATTATTATAAATAAATTAATTAAATGCAGATTTTCCGAACTCGTTATTATATAATCCGCACCTCATTAATTTGTTTATTGTTTTTGGAAGTCAGTTCACACGTTGTTATTATCAATAGATAAGGCATGCAAATACCGATAAGTTTGGCTACTTGTAGTTCTATATGGTATTTATGGTTTATACATGGCTTACCAAACGGACGTTGTTTATACCATGCGGCTCAAAACCAGCGCCGGACGCTACGTGAGTTACACCGACGTGGCGGTGGTCTTAGGTACCTTTTCCATAGGGGTGATAATCACGTCAAGCACGACCGACGACTACTTAAGCTATTTCTACCACTTAAGCAAAGTAGTGACTTAACCTCGTCACGCAAACCCCAATTTTACTTAAAACCAATTGCAGGTGGACCAACTTCTCCAAAAACGACTACCTCGAGGCTATAATTACACTATAACAACTGCGGCAACGCTGTTCGCAGGTTTTGCCATTTTCGTCTTCGACTTGGCAACCTGGCTGCATTTAGCGTCAAAAAATGAAAGTCCTTACTTTCTACTAATCTGCCTGGTTCCTTACTACGTCGCTTATTTCTCGCTCTTCGTAATCGAGCTGCTTTACTGGCAACTCGTCTACTCCATCAAAATTAGATTATTCATGATGAATAGCAAACTTCGACAAATTCAAAATGGCGGAAATGTGGAAAATCCGTACGTGAAAGTTTCGAATAGTGTGACTGGGGTGCGGAAAATTGAGACCGTTAAAGGAAAACTCATTAAAAGTACTTCTTTGGAAAAAGTGGAAGATTTAATGAAAGCGTACGAGAGTCTAGGTGAAGCTGCACGGATTGTCAATAAGTGTTACGGTTTAGTGATTGCGGTAATACAATTTACGCGAATTAACTTAGTTTTCAGTTTTTGTGTTGTAGATTGTTCTTCTGGGTTGTTTAATCCACTTGTTGGTGACTGCCTACGCCATTCGTAGTTTGGTGGCGAGTAACGGTAGCGACATGTACGTGGTTGCTCAGTGTGTCTGGATGGTTGTTCATATCATGCGCTTGGTTTTGATTATTGAACCTTGTCACGGTTGTCTAATGCAAGTAAGTGTACAATTTTGAAACTACTAAACGATTGGGGGAGAAATTTCAGTGGAAAAAAGCTTTAGCGCTTATTTGCAAAGTCAGAATTTCTGATCCAGAAGACAGTATTAAAAAATCTATGGATTTCTTTCTGGGGTTCTTATCCCAGTGCAAGATTGAATTTACCGCTTTTGGTTTGGCCACAATCGACAGAGGTTTGATGTTAGGGGTGCGTACCACAATTTTGTTGTCAGTTGTACATTCTTTGTGTTGCAGATTGCTGGAACCGTTACTACGTATTTGGTGATATTGCTCGAGTTTAATTGATTTTAACTATATTGTTGTTTTTGTTTATGTTTTACTTATCAAGGAAATGTATAGCTTGTTTAGCGGCATGTAGAGATAAGATCAACAATTTTCAGTGTTGTTGTTTTTTTTAATTTGACAAGCCATTAATGAAAACCTACATACTAACAGTAGTTCACCATGAACAAATCTGTCATGATCCGTCACGATACGTTTGAGACTTTGTTTCCTATTCTACACTTAAGCAGATTCACCTGTATTTTCCCCTTAAAGTGGCAAAAACAGAATTTCGGCTACATCATAACCATTTCGAAATTTTACGTCATTTGTAGCCTCCTCTTTACCGGATTTATTGGTACCACCAAAATTTTTACGTCAATGTTTGTATTAATCCAACATTCTAGTTCTCTATGGCATCTATGGTTCAGTCCAAATAGACGTGATCTACTCAGTCCAACTCCAAGGTGGTGTCACACGTTACATCAGATTTACTGACAATGCACTAGTCTTGTCTACTTTTGCCATAGCAGTGGCCACAACGGCTTACAAAACTGACCAATACATCCAGTATTTCCGTTACTTAACTAAAGTACGTAACGCACTATAGTGGCATGTCACTAAATTTGGGGTTTTCAGTGTGATCAACTTCTCCAAAGAAAATCACCAAAAACATATACGAAGGGGTTTTTCACTCTGAGCATTGTCGTGACACTCTGTGCCATTTTTATTTCAGATTTGGTGGTGTGGATGAATTGGGGTTCGTCCAAACAGAGTGTTTACCTTCGGCTTAGTTACTTGTTTCCGTATTACCTTGCCTATTTTTCAATTTTTGTAACCAGCCTAATTTACTGTCACCTCGTCTATTCTATCAAGATTCGACTTTCGGTACTCAACAACAGGTTTCAAGCTATGCACAACGGGGGAACTATCGCGGCAAACATAAGAAAAAAACACATTTATACTTTGATCCAAGCATACGAAAACCTCACCCATTGTGGTAAAACGGTCTCTAGGTGCCACGGTTTCGTGATATTGATTATCCTGTGTGGGTGTGCGATACACTTATTGGTGACTTCTTACAATCTTCGTAGATGGGTTTCATTCAAATTTGAGGTTAAACCGGTTATTGAACAATGTATCTGGATAAGTCTGCACTTCATACGGTTGATGTTGGTGGTGGAACCATGCCATGGTTGTTTGGAAGAAGTAAGTTTTGTTGGGTGTGATTCGTGTAATTGGGGTTGCTGTAGTTGAAGGAAATGTCAAACGTGCTATGTCAACTACTGCTTTATAGATTTGATGACGACACGAAAAAATCGCTCAATTTTTTTTTGCTTTACTTGTCGCACTGTAAAATCGAGTTCAGTGCTTATGGATTGGTGAAAATTGACAGAAGTTTGTTGCCTATGGTTTGTGTATGTTTAAGTTTGAATTCTTGTTTATTTTGGTTTTTCAGATTGTTGGGGCCATAACTACATACTTAGTGGTGTTATTTCAGTTCAATTAAGACAAAAAGAGCGACAGATTTTTTTCCAAGAACAAACTTATTAATAAAAACAACATTATAGAAACCAACATCAATATTTATTTGATTACATTTTTCATTGATTAACTTCAAAAGTTTAGGTCAAAATTTCGGCGAAAATATACCGCTATCCAACAAATATTTACGTTGCATTATTACCAGTCATTAGCAGCACCGAACAACAAGTGGAAATTTATCGCCACACCACACTTTTATTTTTGTTTATATCGCTTAACTATGTGATTGACATGTACCTTAATAAATTATTTACTTGTTGTGTTTCATTCAGATTATTGTAAAGTATGTGCAGGCAGTTTAATGTTCTGGACATGTCTTCAGTTAAAGTCAGCCTTGAAATAATCGAAGCCTTTTCTCCCATTCTTCGTCTGAGCAGACTCATCTGCCTTCAACCCCTAAAATGGCAAAAGTTGACAGATTCCAGCTGGATTATAATCAAATCGAAAACGTATATCGCGTGCAGCATCATCTTCAACATTTTCATTGGTGAGTGGAGTTTCGAAGTCGCGTTTTCAACAACTGTACTGTCTCTAGTCACGTTTGGTGTCTACGGCCTCTACAAAATCTACCAAATTGAAATCATCTACGCAATTAGACTTCAGAATGGTCCTAGAAGATACGTGAAGTTTACTGATCTCACTGTAGTTTTTTCCACTTTCGTAATAGGGGTAGCAACAATGGCGTGGAAAGTTGATAAATACATACACTACTTTCACCATTTAAACAAAGTAGATTTTACACCACGTCACAAGGATAATTTATATTAAAGGTGGCGATTTTAGTTCGATCAACTCCTGCAAAAACGACCACCGAAAACATACACATATTTATTTATGACAGTCGCCATTACACTTATAGTTGGTTCAGTTTTGCTGCACGATTTGTCAGTTTGGTTAGTCGTGGGTTCTACAAGTGAAAATATTTTCGTTCTGGTGTGTTATTTCGGGCCATACTATATCGCTTATTTTTCCATGTTTATAATTGCGCTGCTGTATTGGCACCTTGTCTATTCCATAAAAATTAGACTGACTATGCTGAACCAAAGACTTCACGAAATTCAAGTTAATCAAAGTACAATTACGCTTGTACAGTACCTTCACGATTTGATAAAAGCTTATGGAAATCTGTCAGAATGTACAGACGTACTCAATAATTGCTACGGATTAGTAGCGCTGGTAATTAATTAAAAATATTCTATTCTTTTTACTATATTAATTTCTTCAAGATTATGCTTCTTGGGTGTTTAATTCACTCTTTAGTCACTCCTTTCACTTTCCGAATTGCGGCTTTATCAAACGTCAACGCTGGAATTCTTCTGGGACAAGGTGCTTGGTTTTGTATACATGTTATACGTTTGATGTTGGTGATTGAACCTTGTAACAGTTGTATAGAACAAGTAAATTTTACGCATTTGTATTTATGAAATAATGACTGCACTTACTTTATAGACACAAAAAACGTCCCGTCTTGTTTGTGAATTGTTTGCTACCAACACGAAACAGGACGTCAAAATTCCAATACAAATATTTTTTTCCTATTTATCGCTATGCAAAATTGAATTTACCGCCTTTGGACTCACAAGAATTAACAGAAGTTTGTTGCCAACGGTCAGTTTTGTTTTTGGAAGAATACACTTATTTAGGTCAATGTTTCAGATTGCTGGCGTCATTACTACATACTTAGTTATATTGTTTCAGTTTAATTGATCTAGATATCAGAATCTGATAAACACAATTTGGGACACCTGGTATAGTACACATTTGCGGAACAAACACTTAGAGTAAACAACCAATATATCAAAACACGAACTGAGTCACCATTCTGACGACATAATGTCTTCGGTTAAAGTCACTCACGAAATAATCAAACCGTTTTCTCCCATTCTTTATTTGAGTAGACTAATCGGTCTCCAACCAGTAAAATGGAAAAAATCAGATTCCGGTTGGACTATAACCAAATCAAAAAAATATCTCGTTTACAGCGTCATCTTTAATTTTTTCATTGGTGAGTTTAGAATCACGATGTCAAGTTGTCAACAACGGTCTTTAGTTTGTTTTGGTATCTACGGCCTCTACAAAGTCTACCAAATCGAAAGCATCTACACACTTAAACACCACGAAGGCCCCAGACGTTACGTGAAATTTATCGAACTCGGTGTAGTCTTTTCCACTTTCATTCTAGGAGGGGCGACTATGACGTGGAAAGTTGACAAATGCGTAAACTATTTTCACCACTTAAATAAAGTACGTTTACACCCTACTCACACTATTATGTAGTTACACACGAATTTTAGTTCGATCAACTTCTACAAAAACGACCAACAAAAACATACACATATTTATTTGTCACTACTGTAACTACAGTTATTTTTAGTTCAGTTGTACTACTCGATTTGTCAATATGGTTAGAGGTGGGTTCCACAAGTGAAAGTATATTCGTTCTTATGTGTTATTTCGCGCCTTATTATGTCGCTTATGCTTCGATGTTTGTAATCGCACTCCTCTACTGGCACCTTGTCTATTCCATCAAAGTTAGACTGACAATACTGAACGAAAAACTTCACGAAATTACAAGTATTAAACAAAAAGTGTCCCATCTCCACGATTTGATACAAGCCTATAGAAACCTGTCGGAATGTACAGACATAGTCAACAACTGCTACGGACTAGTAACGCTGGTATTGCTCAAACACGTATTTCCACTGTATTAATTTGTTCATTTAAGGTTATTTTTTCGGATGTTTGATTCATTTTTTAGTAACTCCTTTTAGCTTTCGAACTGACAAGTTATTAACAAAGTGCTTGGTACTGTGTTCATATTATACGTTTGATGTTGGTGATTGATCCATGTAACAGTTGTTTAGAAGAGGCAAAGAAAACGTCACTCCTTATTTGTGAATTTGTTGCGTACAATATGAAAGAAGACGTCAAAAATCCGGTAAATGTATTTTTCTACCGCCCACGTTTTTTGGTTTTCTAATAGAGCTATTAACGCACGCAAATGACGTCACAGCAGTTCGTTAATAGCGGAAAGGCGTTCTTTAATAGATCTGGTGTAATTTAGATCGGTAAGATTGGTAGCAATGACGAGAAATGTCAGGTGATTATCAGTGGCAAATCTAAACTAAAAATTTCCCATGTTTCCGGACGCGTAACTTCTTCGCAAGACATTTTAACCAATTTTAAATTACAAAAACTCGAATTGATTCGAATTACAATTGTTGTTGTGAAAATTCGAACCTCAAATATTTCGTTGTTAGTGTCTGACCGACCCATCACCAACCACAACAAAAGTCCCCAGATTAAAAAAAAATGCAAATTTCAATTAAATTTTGGGAAAAAACGTGTGCGGTAGAAAAAATAGTATAAATAACTCGTTCATAAGGCCATTGAGGCACTCATCCTTTATATAACTCGCGGCTTCGCCGCTCGTTCTATAAACTTGGATTCGTGCCTCAATATTTGCCTTATGAAACTCGTTCTTTAATATACCATTATTTCGTATGTATCGTTATGGAAAGTTGAATTTACCGCCTTTGGACTTACTAGAATTGACAGAAGTTTATTGCCACCGGTCAGGACTGGTTTACAATGGAAAAGTACTTATTCATACACGTGTTTCAGATTGCTGAAGTCATTACTACCTATCTAGTGATTTTGTCTCAGTTTAACTAATATTATAGATCACCCAGTGAAAAAAGCTTACAAAAATTCAAAGTTATTTCAATTATGTATAATGATCACAAACACATTTTTTTCAGTTTTGCAAAAAAGTAATGTATAGTCCACTATAATGGAAAAATATTTACTTTATTAATGGATAGTGGAAATGTGCCACAACACACCTATTATTTTTATTTACATCACATGAACAATTGATGTCTTCGGTTAAAGTCAGAGACACACTAATAAAACCCTTTTCTTCAATTCTTCATTTGAGTAGACTAATCGGTCTTCAACCACTAGAATGGAAAAAATCAAATTCCAGCTGGACTATAACCAAATCAAAAAAATATCTAGCTTACAGCATCATTTTTAATTTTTGTATTGGTGGGTAGACAAATTTTGACAAATTTTCAAGAAACTCAAGGTTTTTTAGTGTCATATGGCTTGTACGGTTTCTACAAAATCTACCACATGGAAGTCTTCTACAAACTTAGATTGAAAAATATCGCTAGACGTTGCATAAAACTGACTGACGTTACTGCAGTCTTCTCCACTTTCACACTAGGTGTAGCGACAATGATATGGAAAGTCGATAAACACATAACCTATTTTCACTACTTAAACAAAGTAAGTTAGACGTTTATATTAGTACTAGTTACACTAAACTCGATTTTAGTTTGACCAACTTCTACAAAAACGTCCAGCGAAAACATACACATATTTATTTATAACCGTCGCAATTACTTGCATCGTTGTTTCAGTTTTTTTGTTTGATTTGTCAAAATGGCTGAAAATCGGTTATAAAAGCGAAAGCGTGTATCACCTTATTTGTTACTTTTCGCCTTATTACATCTCCTAGTTTGCTATGTTTGTGATTCTATTGGTTTATTGGCACCTCGTCTATTCCATCAAAGTTCGACTGACTATGCTAAACCAAAAACTTCGCGAAATTCAAAATGGCGGCAAAATCACAGTACAATTCCACGACTTAACAAAAGCGTATGAAAATCTGTCGGAATGTAGAAACACAGTGATTGACTGTTACGGATTGGTAATACTGGTAATCAATCAAAAATCCATTTCCAATATGCTAATCTGTCTATTTAAGTTTATTCTTCTTGGGTGTTTAATTCACTTTTTGGTGACTTTGTTTATGGTTTATGCTGCGGTTTTAACAACTAGCAAAGTTCGAGTTCTAGTGGGCCAAGCTACTTGGTTCGGTGTACATCTTACACGGTTGATGTTGATGGTTGGACCGTCATAGTTGTTTAGAAGAAGTAAGTTTACACTGTCATTACATCTATATATAATTGTTTTGTAGACACAAGAAACATCTGCTCTTGTTTGTTAACTATCATCGTCCATTTTGACAGAAGATATTAAAATCCCTATAAAGATCTTCAAATCTCACTTGACGCTGTGCAAAATTAAATTTACCGCCTTTGGATTCACCAGTATTTTACTTAAGTAATTGTTTTAGATTACTGGTGTTGTGGCTACTTATTTAGTGATATTGTGTCAGTATTATTAATCTTCACTCTGCGCATGTATATCAATAAATTAAAGCACTTTGTTTTACTTCTTTTTAGGCAAAATGAACCTAGGCCCCACATATTGCGACGCCACTGGAAAACCACACGTCACCTCGTCACAGTTGTGTATTGGTGGTTGCCTATCCGCAACAATCGGTACACTATTACCAGCGATTTTTGTTGCCAACCTATCAATGATAATAGTGATAGTGATGTTCGTTAAGCACTGACAACTGTTGAAAGCGTCGTAAGTCATTCAAAAATGAACCAAAGTGTAATAATTCCCGCACCACGCAATGCCGAACCCGACTTACCTCAGGTGAGTGAAACACATCCATTTTCTTCACCGAAAAATAAAAGTCACCAAAAACCCCCCGTCGTCCCACAGCGCCCCACCATCCACCAAACCCTCCATGATTCGCAAAAAAAGCCAAAAACACTGTCCCCACAACCAAAATATTTTGATTTCTGTCACCTGTCAAACCGGCGCCCGCAGCGCCCCCAACGCGCTGACCCACACGTCAACGTGACGCGCCCTATTCAAACTCAACCCCCCGAATCCCCAAATCCGCGTCCTTTTAACCCAAATCCTCGCCGCATCGCGCCGCCCCCTGCACCCACGCCGAGTTTACCGTGCCGTGGCAGCTCCCGAAGCAATTTGCAGCCGTCTTAAGCAAATATGGTTTAATTGGAGTAAAACGCCGTCCGAACCCAGCCCCGACACCGCCGACAGCGACGGAAGATGCGCGCTCCCGCGCGCAGGACGAAGACGCGCGACCGAGTGGCGTCGCAGCCGGCGCAGAAGGTCGGTCATTTTTAGTAGCGCTTTTGCAGGCGCTTGATGTGGACGTGCTATCGCAAAATTTTCACAATATTTACGACATTTACGTGAAGGCGGCCGCAATTCGTCGGAAATGTCGCAGAACTCGTCTGGCGGCAAACGACACTCCTCGAGGCAGCTGGTGAGTACGAAAAAGCGACTTTTCCGCACTACTTTCGTCGCCATAGTGCGTTTTACAAAACTCACGTAGAACTTAAATCGAAGTTGTCGGCCATGCCGTCGGAATCGCGGAAAAAGTGCCCGTCCACGGGATCGCAGCGGCCGCGAGAAAAACAAAAGAACGTCAGCTCGGACACGGCCACTTGACGTTGGTCAGCGCAATTAATCGAGCGCTTCCGGCGCGCCGCGGCCGTCGAGGAGGGTTGCGGGTCGGGACCTGGGGGCGCTTGGTTGCGGGCGAAGTCGGGGGGCGCTGGGCGAGCACGTGCGTTGCGACGTGGGCAGCGCTACCATTGTACCGTTGGGCCGGGCTCCGGACGGGGTTGCTGGGTCGGTCGGGTTGGCGAGATTCGCACCTCCGGTGTTCTTCTATTATTAGATGGGCGGGCGAGGGGGGAGGTGGTTGCGGGAGCAGGTTCGAGTTTGGGCATGGACGGGGTGGACGAGGTCTTGGATTAGATAGCGTCTTATTTGTAAATATTTGGAGTCTTATCGATGTAGATAAACAAAGGCTTTGGCTGACGCGGGGATCCGAGGTGTTTTATGGTGGATTGTTTCAAACTGTCGGTACTGTCGCAATTAGGTCTTGTTACGCCGTTGCGCTGCGCTGAAAATTCTCAAGGTCGACGATTTTTCAGTGTGGCAGCTTGTGCTAGTGTGAATGGGGGCAATGTTTACAGTGGGTACAATGAAACAACCACCTTTCAAAGCTTGTCGTAGTGTTTTTTTTTTATTAAAGTTGGTACCACTAGTACCAACTAGTGCGTTCATATTTATATTAATTTTATGTTTTGTTCCATATTTAACTTTTCGTGTTTATGCATATAGAATTATAGATATATATTTTTTTTGTTCTACTGCATTGACAAAGGTAACAAAGATCGTTGTTCGGTCATTGTCACCTAAATTTATAATTAGTTCCTGGCCATCATTAGGCCGAATTTCAGTTTCCCTTGTTTTTGCTTATCGATCACCTTTTGATCAATTTCTTTCAAAAATAAACACCAGGTATAAATTTTGGAGATCACGTCATCAAATAGTTGGTGGGGATAATTAGCCACATTTTGGTTAGTATTAACCATCTACATGATATTTCTACCATATGTGCAAAATTTGACAACAATCGGTCCAGCAGTTTCGGAGATTACAGACAGACGGAAACGGGAGACCACTTTTTTCGTACTGTAGAAGTCATGACACGTCGAGAAAATATGAAAGTGGCAATTCGGCCGATGGACTTACGCTCGGGAAGTAAAAATATATCATATTTTGTCCCCTTTGATTCCTTTAATTTCTTCTACAAACAGAATACCAGTGATCCTCAACATTATTTTAAATGTTTTCAAAAATAAAACAATAGGGCCTCGAAAGATTCTTTAAAATTCTTTCAAAAACAGGAACATCAAGGGCCCCCAAGATTCCTTTATAAAATTTTCAAAAACAACCACAGAAATCTCAAGATTCTTTACAATTTTTTCAAAAACAAAACACTAGGGGCCAGCGAGATTCTTTTAAAAATAAAAACACGTAACCTCACTATTCTTTCAAATTTTTTTCAAAATTAAAATAATAAGGGCTTGCAAGATTCTTTTAAACTTGTTTCAGAAACGACACTTGGGAACTCAACATTCTTTTAACTCTTTCAGAAATTAAATATCAAGAACTGCGAAGATTCTTTTAAACTCTTTCAATAAGAGACCAGCGTGATTCTTTCAAAAATAACACAATAAAACACAAGTCTTACGATTCTTTTAAAATTCTTGCAAAAATAGAACGCCAAAAGCTTTCAAGATTTTTAAATATAAAACACGCGTCTTCACGATTTTTTTAAAATTCTTTCAAGAACAACACCCCGAGCTCCTAGAATTCTTCAAAATTCTTCTTTGAAAAAAAAACACCAGAGGCCAACAAGATCCTTTCAAAAATAAAACTCCCACACGATTCTTTTAAAACTTCTTGAAAAACAGCACCAGGAGTTCCCAAGTTTCTTTGAAATGCTTTCAAAAACAATACACGAAAGACGAGCCATATTCTTTTAAAATTCTTGAATCCCAGGGTGTTCTGCTGCCATGAGTCCCTAGGATTCTTTCGGAATAAAACACCAGGGGTCAGCGACATTATTTCAAAAATAAAACATGGGTCTTTACGATTCTTTTAAAATTCTGTCAAAAACAATACATCAGGTATCAGCGAGATTCTTTCGAAAATAAAATGCCATCACGATTTTCTTAAAAAAATTTCGAAAACAGAACGACAAGGGTCCCCAAGATTTTTCAAATTCTTTCAAAAATAAAACACGGATTGTCACGTTTCTTTCAAAAATAGAACACCAGGTATATCCAAGATTCTTTCAAATTCTTTCCAAATACGTTCCCATGCGCTCCCAAGAATGTTTTAAAATTCTTTCAAAAACAGAACACCAGGGAATCCAATATTCTTTTAAACTCTTTCGAAAGTTAAACATCACGACCCCTAAGTTTATTTTTTATTCTCTCAAAAATAGAACACCAGGTACCACTAAGATTCTTTTAAATTTCTTCGAAATAAAACACCAATGGTCACCGAGATTCTCATAAAAGTAAAACACGGATTTTTTAAACAAAACACGAAAGAACGACGAGATTCTTTAAAAATAAAACGCCCTCACGATTTTTTTTTTATTTCGACGACACTAAGGGTCTCCAAGATTCTTTCAAATCTTTCCAAAATAAAACAGTGGCTCCCAGGATTCTTTTAAATTTTTTTCAAAAACAACACATTCTTTTAAACACTTTCAGAAATTAAATATTAATAGCCGCTGAGATTCTTTTAAATCTTTCAGTAACAATCACGAGCGAGATTCTTAAACACGCGTCTTCACGATTCTTTTAAAACTCTTTCAAAAACAACACCAGAAGTTCCTAGATTTCTTTAAAATTCTTTCAAAAACAATACATGAAAGACGAGCCATATTCTTTTAAAATTCTTGAATCCCAGGGACTTATGGTGTTCTGCTGCCATGAATCCCTAAGATTCTTTCGGAATAAAACACCAGGGGTCAGCGACATTCTTTCAAAAATAAAACATGGGTCTTTACGATTCTTTTAAAATTCTGTCAAAAACGATACATCAGGGATCAGCGAGATTCATTCGAAAATAAAATGCCATCACGATTTTCTTAAAAAAAATTCGAAAACAGAACGACAAGGGTCCCCAAGATTTTTCAAATTCTTTCAAAAATAAAACACTGATTCTCACGTTTCTTTCAAAAATAGAACACCAGGTATATCCAAGATTCTTTCAAATACTTTCCAAATGCGTTCCCATGCGCTCCCGAGAATGTTTTAAAATTCTTTCAAAAACAGAGCAACAGGGAATCCAACATTCTTTTAAACTCTTTCGAAAGTTAAACATCACGACCCCTAAGTTTATTTTTTATTCTCTCAAAAATAGAACACCAGGTACCCCTAAGATTCTTTTAAATTTCTTCGAAATAAAACACCAGGGGTCACCGAGATTCTTATAAAAAAAAACACGGATTTTTTAAACAAAACACGAAAGAACGACGAGATTCTTTAAAAATAAAACGCCCTCACGATTTTTTTTTTATTCCTACGACACTAAGGGTCTCCAAGATTCTTTCAAATCTTTCCAAAATAAAACAGTGGCTCCCAGGATTTTTTTAAATTTTTTTCAAAAACAACACCACATTCTTTTAAACACTTTCAGAAATTAAATATTAATAGCCGCTGAGATTCTTTTAAATCTTTCAGTAACAATCACGAGCGAGATTCTTAAACAGGCGTCTTCACAATTCTTTTAAAATTCTTTCAAAAACAACACCAGAAGTTCCTAGGTTTCTTTAAAATTCTTTCAAAAACAATACAGGAAAGACGAGCCATATTCTTTTAAAATTCTTGAATCCCAGGGACTCATGGTGTTCTGCTGCCATGAGTCCCTAGGATTCTTTCGGAATAAAACACCAGGGGTCAGCGACATTCTTTCAAAAATAAAACATGGGTCTTTCCGATTCTTTTAAAATTCTGTCAAAAACGATACATCAGGGATCAGCGAGATTCTTTCGAAAATAAAATGCCATCACGAATCTCTTAAAAAATTTTTGAAAACAGAACGACAAGGGTCCCCAAGATTTTTCAAATTATTTCAAAAATAAAACACGGATTCTCACGTTTCTTTCAAAAATAGAACACCAGTTATATCCAAGATTCTTTCAAATTCTTTCAAAAACAGAACACCAGGGTCCAATATTCTTTTAAACTCTTTCGAAAGTTAAACATCACGACTCCTAAGTTTATTTTTTATTCTCTCAAAAATAGAACACCAGGTACCCCTAAGATTCTTTTAAATTCCTTCGAAATAAAACACTAGGGGTCACCGAGATTCTTATATAAAACACGGATTTTTTTAAACAAAACACGAAAGACTGACGAGACTATTTAAAAAATAAAACGCCCTCACGATTTTTTTTTTTTGATTCCAACGACACTAAG